GAGCTATAATTACCTCACATTGGAGCATGTTGGGAGTAAACTAGGGTCAAAATTAAGGTTTAATGCTGCTCACTTGTTTCTGTGATGCTAGAGATTCTTTTCATTTGAACATTACACAAAGATTTTTGTAGGTTTTAATTCTCTAAAGATGTGAAAAGCAGATGATTCAGCTTTCAGCTACAAGCTAGACTGTATTTAAATGTTTTAGAACAACGCAGCGGTGTGACTCATTAAATTAGCGTTATAGTCTGCAGATATTGATGAGCCATTTAAAAGGTTTTGATTATGCTTTAAGTACAATAAAAACAAACATACCTGAGTGTCTCTGGTGACGCTACTGCTGTGCCGTCAGGAGGATTCTGTGCACTTAGTGTCTATTGGTTTTTGTTGAAAAGCCTTCTCACATTTTTACGGTCCCAGTCTGGTCTGACCGGAGTTTCTGGTAGAACTGGGACAAAATGAGGAAATGTCAGTGTCAAGTCGCATGCGTAACACTGAAGAATATGTTGGTTTCAAGTTGGTTTGATGTTATCAGATAATTTTATAGAGTTACACAAAAAGTTGTGTGCTTTTAAAAAAGTTACATCGACAAGTGAAACTCAAAAAATTGGAATATTGGGCAAAAGTTCATTTATTTCAAGGTGAAACTAATCCATGACATAGATTCATTACAAGCAAAGCCAGATATGTCAAGTCTTTATTTGTAATGACTGTGAAGATTACGGTTTACAGCTCATGAAATCCCCTAAATCAACATCCCAGACAATTAGAATCTTTTGAAAAGTTTAAATTTTCTAGACTCAAAGTGTCATACTCTAATCAGCTAATGATTCCAGAAAACCTGCGAGGGGTTCCTGAGCCTTTAGATGGTCTCTCAGTCTGATGTTGAATTACTGAAATAAATGGATGGATGGATGGATGGATGGATGGATGGTTGGATGGATGCTGTATGGATGGAAGGATGGATGGATGGATTGAGAGAAGGGTGGATGGACTGATTGGACTGATGGACTAACGGATAGACAGATAGATGGATGTACTGATAGATAAACAGATGGTAGAAGGATGAATAGATGGATTTGACATATGAACTGATGGGCAGACGAATAGACATATGAATGGACGGATGGATAGATTGACAAATGGATGGATGGATGGATTGATGGATAGACAGATGGATAGATGCTGTATGGATGGAAAGGTGGATGGACTGATGGATAGACGGATAGACATATGAATGGATGGATGGATGGATGGATTGACAAATGGGTGGATGGATGGATGGACGTTGTATGGACAGAAGGACAGATGGATGGATTGAGAGATGGACAGATGGATGGAGTGATGGACAGACGGATAGACAGATAAATGGGTGGATGCTGGATGGACAGATGGATGGATTAGAGTGGACAGACAGATGGATGGATGATGGATGGATGGATGGATGGATGGATGGAGACAGATAGACAGATGGATGGTTGTGTTGACATATGTAAGGATGGGTGGACTGATGGATGGATGGATGCTGGATTGACAGATAGATGGATGAGGATGGATGGACAGATGGGTGGATGCTGGATGAATGAATAGACAGAAGGGTGGTTGAATATTGTATGGGGAGACACAGGGATGAACAGACAGAGACAGATGGATGAATGAATGGATGGATGCTGTATGGACGGACCACCAGACAGGCATTAATGAAACTCAGAAAGTCTTTACTGGATTTTTGTCAAAAGCTGATAAACGTCTGGAGAGAACCTAATAAGAGATGGCCGACACAAACAAAACTGGCCATAACTTAGGCAACTCTAAAAATTTTGAGCAAATTTGCATCTGGTCAGGCTTGATTCCAACTCATCACATACTCTTGAGTTTAACAGCTTGAAATGGCAGGCATGCATGAATCTGACCCCAGGAAGATCAGTAGCCACTTCGGTGGAAACTGATGCGGATCCTGATAAATAAACGAAAACATTTTCCAGCAAAAAGAAATGCTAACACTAAAATGCAACGACGCAATCCTTCTACTTCTTATGTCTGATTCACTTTTACTTCAACCATGGATGTGAGATGTTAGAATGTGTGTGCTCTCTGACTTCAGCTACCACAGAGTGTGAGCAAGACACGTTGCATCTTTAAATTTAAAAGCTTCATCCATCCATCCATTTTCATCCGCTTATCCGGAATCGGGTCACGGGGGCAGTAGCCTAAGGCGAGAGGCCCAGACTTCCCTCTCCCCAGCCACTTGGGCCAGCTCCTCCGGGGGAATCCCAAGGCGTTCCCTGGCCAGGTGAGAGACATAGTCCCTCCACCGTGTCCTGGGTCTACCTTTAGGTCTCCTCCCGATTGGACATGCCTGGAAAACCTCACCAGGGAGGCGTCCGGGAGGCATCCTGACCAGATGCCCGAGCCACCTCAACTGGCTCCTCTCGAGTTTAAAAACTTGCTTTTTAAAGGTAATGGGGCTGTGTGGTTGCAAAGCATGCAAGTTGTAAATAAAGTACCTTATTATTAACATTGCAAAAATGACTCAAGTGTATGACTTAGGAAACTGTGGGGTTTTTCTGAGTGTGTGCTCTACCTTTGGCTGCTTGGATTTTCTCTGAAAACACACCGGAAGGTGATGAAGAGAAGGTAGCTGATGACATCTAGAGGAAATTATAAGCAGCACAAACAAATTAGAAGAAGCCCCAAACTCAACAACAGACATAATAAAATGTTACAACTATTTTGCAAGTTTTCAAATATGTTTTCCTATTTACAGTCAGTCAGGATCTGGTTTGATGTTTTAGGAAAATTTGAGCTGGAATTTAGACATCATGAAACATTCGTGATCTTGAAAAGGAAATTTGATTCAATAGGGCATAAATCAACAATTTTGCCTTCTTTTGGGACCTACTAATCATCTAAACACACAAATTCCTAAATGTAAGGCTCATATTGGCTGAATAAATAAGAGACTTAATCAACAGGCCGTTCCTTCTGGTTTGTAAATTTTTCTGTGCTGACTAAATTAGGGAGTGGAAGTTTTTTCTGCCAGTGCAAGCTTTGTTCCACCCACACTCTCCGTAGATAACAAGAAACAGCATTTTCAGCATTGTTCTTGAGTGAAAACCACAATAAGTTGCTGTAGACAGAGATGAAGGAGTTTACCACGATGCCTGTGGTGTTTTGGGAGAGAAATGAAGGTAGCTTTAATAAAGATGCCAATCTGCCTCCTATTTCTTTCCCTCTGCACACTCAGCAATGATAAAGGCTTGTTTTGCACATTTTATAGAACAAATTAAAACAAGTCAGCATGGTCATGTTACCTTTATTGTGAAGCTTGATCTCGGTTAATCCAAACTAAATCATGCTGAAAAGATAGTGGACGAGCCTGAGGAGCCGTTCAGAAAGAAGCAAGCAGGTTGGTCGTTAGTTGGTCGTACCAGTTTAGCTAAAAAAAAAAAACTTGTTTATCTTCTTTTTAAACAATGTTCAATCTGCCCTTTCCAAACTTTCCATTGAAAGGGATTATTTTAGACATGTTGTAGTAAGACTGATGAGCTAACAGCTAGTATACGCACAGACAAGGTGGCTTGCTGTTGTTCTGAGAAAACTAGAGTCATGGTTCGTGCTAATGTGTTTTGTAAACTCTTATTTTGGTTGAAACGTTGGTAAATGTAAATGACCGTTATTTGTATAGCACTTTCTTAGGTTTCTACAACCCCCCAAGGTGCTTCACAGCACAATCAGTCACCCACCCGTTCACACACTGGTGATGATGAGCTACATTGTAGCCACAGCTGCCCTGGGGCGCACTGACAGAGGCAAGGCTGCCAAGAACTGGTGCCACCGGTCCATCCAATCATGACCAGCAGGCAAAGAAGAATAAGTGTCATGCCCAAGAACACAACAGCAGCATTCTCTGGTGGGAGCTGGGATTGAACCTGCAACCTCTGATTTCTGGCCTCCTAACCTCCTGAGCTACTGCTGAGAGATCCCATTAGATTTGACCACAGAGTGCACTGCAGTTTCTAATTTTACAATTGTTTTATGTACTAAGAAAATATAGATCCACTGAAATATTTCACGTTACGATACTAAATTGTTATTTTAAAAGCAGTTTGTTGATGTTTTATTGAGAATTTACATGCTAACATTTACTGGATTTTGGTGCAATTCAAACTCCAGCTGCTAGGTGGCAGTAGTTCACACCACCTTCACGCGGACAGAACAACTAGATCTTGCGATGTAACCTCTCTACCACATCTGGATGTGTTTTGGAAGCATAGACATGAATACATAGACACCCCATTGGGTGCTGGAGGGCGTAATGCAGAGTGGGCAACTGTGCCCATTAGACCTTTGCAGCCTACCTGATGTAACTTTATATTTGAATTTATTTTGTTCATTTATATGTTTTATTAACATGCCATACCATGTGTCTGATTTTGTAATAAAGCATCTTCGCTTCTCCCTCGTAAGTCGAATTACATCTGTCGTAAACAACCCTGCTGGCTGGGGCCTGCTGTTGCTAGTGCTAACACTGCTCTCTTACCTTTACTTGTAGGCTCCACCTTGATGCTTACTAAAATGTTAGCTTCTTCTCTTTCTCTTGTGCTTTTTATTGATGGTCAGCAAACTGGAAAAGCTAACTGCTAGCCTTTACATTACCGGCACAGTAAACAGCCGGTAAAGCACAAAACTGCTAAGTGCAGTTTATGGCTCACCAGAGGGCTTTGGAGTGTTGTCCAATGTGAAATTGCTCAATTTTCTGGCTCAAGAACCACTGAAACCATTTAGAAAGCAATAGCCTAAATTCTTAAAAATTCATCAGCGTGGCTTTAAAAGTTTTGTTTTTACGGAGTCTTGTATTCTCCCAGGCCTGGACTTTCTTCATATCCACTGTGATTGCAGACTGACCTTCAACAAGTCAGGAAAACAGATGAATCTTTTTATCTGCACAGCTTTCAACAACACAAACACCACATCCGTCAACCCCCTCCCCCTCTCGTCTCCCACACACACACATTCCTGTTTCTATAAAACGGTAGAGGATCCCATCACATAGTTAAGAGAGAACCACACCAGCATCACAGCAGCAGCCATGACTTCAGCTCCAGGCCTCATGGGATTTTGGATCACTGCACTGATAATTCTTGTTGCAACTGTGGAAGGTAATACATTTTTAAACAATTCATGCAAACCTTCCAACTGCATACTTTCTGCTGTTTTTGTTTTTATACGTGTTTGTTTGATTTCTGCAGAAGCACAAATGAACAAAGTGAGGACGCCAGACATCCTGTTCCCTCCTGCCTGCCCCAAAATGACAAATCTCAAGAACATCTGTGAACTGGGTCAGTACCGTCCCAGATATCCTGACAAGTCCTTACCCCTAACTGGTTACAGCGATTTACGCCGCCGTGCGAACGCTATAAACCGTCTGGAGTCATGGTACGATATTTGCTGCCATGAACAAAATGCACCACCGGACAGTCAGATCCTCTGCTGCGCTGAACAAGCTGTGAGTTCCTCATCCCTCCAAATGATGTCTTGTGTTTAAAAAAAAAGATCAAATTGAGCATTCCACCTTTCTATGAGTTTGCGAAAATCTAAGTATTTATTTTCCCCTCACAGTGGAAACAAGCTCTGTCTCAGTTCTGCGTGGAGGAGTACTCCACCATGTCTGCTGCCTACGAGTGCTGCGAATACAAAAATGTCGCTCGGTGGACCTGCTTCGACAGCGACCTGCCAAACCCAGACTACGACAAGAAACCAGATTACATTGCTCCAAATATGCCCCGGGAGCCCGGATTCACCTTCAACTCAGATGCTTGCTAGAAGTTCAGACTCAGATCTCAATGAAATGCTTTCATTGGAGTAAGATAAGTCAAGCAAGGAGTTAATGCTTATCTATATCTTGCCTTTGTTCCAGGGAATCAGAGAAGTAGAAATTGGGTTGATTCAAGGACGTTAAGAGTCCCAACGCTGTCTGCTCTATGTGTTAACCAAGCTTTGTTTAGATAACAGAAAACATTTGTTCAGTAGTATTTCACAAGTTGTATCTTGCATCGGTATCGTGATCTTTGATGAAAAATAAAACAAAAACACAATCTAAAAGTTGCTTTCATGCATTTTGCAACTGGAGAAGCTTTAAGAGGTTGTAACAGTGTTAGGGTTCTCTATGTAATATGTAAACAATTTTGCAAGTGTATTCATTCACAAAATGTGCAATAAAAGCCACACGTTTCAAAACTTTTTTTTACAAACATCCTTTCTGAGTGTTGATATGATGATATTTTACTGCAGAAGGACTAAGTCCAGACTATATCAACTTAATAATTTAACATTCTTCGTTTTGATTTGCACGGCAGTCTTCTCTTTTTGCAATGGTCATATATTTGACTTACTTTAGCATTTTTTAGCTACAGCCAGTCGTGTCAAACCTCAGATGGTCTTTAAGGACTGTGTAAAAGCATTCAAATTGAGCCACATATAATCTATTAAGATTAGAATATGAAAATAAAAACAGATAATGAAAGAATAATTTGACAAAAGACAGAAAGAAAAGTGACATTTTTAATGACTGTATTCTAAGTCTGTTACCTGGAATTTTGATGAGTTAGGATAATCAATATTTTTATTAGCCCTGACCAGAGCAAATTAAAGATGCCCAAAGGAGGCTGTTGCATCGCTTTTTTCCATATGCACATTTCTAATGAATTGTCTTTAGAAAAGTTTGGGATACTCAACCAATCTCAAATGTCAGGGTTTCCCCACCACTACCTCCCATTACCAGGGCCCTTTTTGGGGTCATTTTCCACCCTGATTTTCACCTTTTTGGCCTAATTCATGTTGCTTCCTTAATTTGGAGAAGAACGTTTGGTGTGTAATACAAAAGCAGAGTTTCTGTTTTCACAACATCTGGAAATTTAACTGAGCTGCCAAAATTATATATTAAGACAGAGCAGGTCATTTTTATATAAGAAGTAAATTACCTCTTCAGTTTCAGCACTGCTTATATATTGGATGCATCATCAGTTTTAAATAAATGTGTGTTTTAAGAAACAACTTTTAATTTGTATGAAGTTCAGCGCAGTAGAGATTATTTTTTAATTATAATCCTTTCGTTCTGTTTATTTACACACGCCATGCTTTTGCAGGAAACAGGTTCATTTCTGTTACTTGTCAAAATAATATTCTAAGATACAGTACAATGTTATCTGGTTTTAATTCATTTTAGTTTTAGTTCATTATAAAACACCCATTCACATTACTTATATGTCGATGGGTATACATAACAAGATTCTGATTGTTGTTTTTAATCACAATGTGGTGTTTTATTGTGAAAAACCAGAAAGTGAGCGGAAGTGATCCGCTTGCATGGAGAGTTTTACAACTGCCGCATCCGAGTTCATTTCTGTCTTGTTTACTTGTTTTTGGTAAAACAAACATTCTTTTTAGAAGTAAATAGGATTTGTATTTCTCTGAGAACTCGCCGACGTTCTTCAAAAGATTCTTGAGTAAGTTGGATACTTTTATGTTGTTTTACGGAATTTAAAAAGTGTCAGGTTAACGTTGAAACTGTTAGCAGCTAGCTTTAGCCGACAAGTCGTCACTTGATTAAATCAAATGTCGGAATCCAGACTCCTTGTTTATAGCAACATTAACAAGTTTATAACAACATTAACAAGTTACGCTTTTCTTCTCTTATTATTTTTCAGCCTTTTAGTCATTGATCCACTTTATATTCATTAGTTTGTGTTAACTTGGTAACTTGTTAGGTAGGTTTGGCCAAATTCTCCCAGCTGAGTCAGTGGCTGTTTGTTACTTTGGTTTAAAATGATCAACAATGTGTTTTCTCAATAAAATCACGTTTTATTTACAGATTTACGTATATTTACGAGCTGAGTGGCATAAAAACTACGTTTAGTTGTTTGTCTGAATGGCCACAGCATCCGAGGAGCCTCCAGGTATTCAGGGTAAGGACTGAGTTGTAATAAAACTATTTAATTAAATGTAATATGTTTTGTTCAGCAAATGCATGGGCTTTTACAAGTCCACTTATTCCTCTTAGATAATATTTTTGTTTATTTGATTTTGCCTAAAGCTGTTAGCTATGTTTTGGAACTTTGTTTGAATATTTCCCAGCAGTCCTCTTCAGGACTTTTTATTTTATTTTTTGCTCTCCAAACTAATTAGTGGTTTTGTTGAATTTTGATGCATTAGTGTCACACTCTCAATGAAAAATAGCAACTAAAGTTTCAGTTTTTATGTCAAAAGTTGGGTATTTTTGCACAAATTCCCTGTTAATTAAGAAAGTCGATCCTGGATGTGCTTCCAACTTTTTTCTTCTTTAAATTAAATTAAATCATGTAAATAAAACAACTTTTAACTTTTTAATACATCCTGCACTCACAAACGTCAAGTTTAAAAAAATAGTTAATTCACTTTCTTATCAAGAAATAAGACCAATCACTTAAATGTTCTCGAGTGGGAATTTTATTTTTTCCTTTATTTTTTCTCCTTATTTATTCTAGCCAAACATTGTAAGGTATTTATTGTGTGCAGTATTGAACTGGATTGTCTCGTTTAGGCATGCTGCTATGGAGCTAATCTTACTAACATTCAGCTCATAGTTGTGTTTAGATTCTTTACTGTTTGTGCTCGGGGCTTGCTAATGGGACCCTTTTGAAACCGACTTCAAGAATCTGGATGTTCTACAGTTTTGTTCACAGGGAAGATTAAGACCCTAATCCCACTGTTTTCCCTAATCTCAGCAATATCCTTGTTTTTATTAGTCCTCATCATTGCAGCTTTGCACCAGAAACCTTCAAACATAATATCTGCTTTGGATCGGTTTATTTGTTAATTAATGTCGCCAGGGTTTTGTTCTTTAAATTCCAGATGTCTGTTTTTATATTTGCAAAGTTTTTATCATGTTTTTCTATTCAGTTTAGGTCAGGGATTAACTCACTAAAGCAGAAAAAGAAACCTCAGAGAAAGACTCGAGTATCTTTTTTCACTCTCTACTGTTTCTTCATTCCTCACTGGCTTTATTTGATCTCAGACCTGCAGCGTCACTTTTATTGGCCACTGGCTTCACTTAGAGGCGATAATAAGTGAGGTTTGGCTGCATGTTTGTGTCCAAGCTTGGCTGCACTCCCTGATTTTTCGTAAAAGGGGATGATAGAAGCTGTCTGATATTATTGCATCCAGTGACAAAACTGCATTTGCCTAATTTTCTCTTTCCTGTCAGTAATTTGTCTCTCTCTCGCTCTCTCTCCTCTCTTTCTCTCTCTCTCTCCCTCCCTCCCTCCAGATGCATCTGGAAACCGTAAAAATGTCCCCTCAGAGGTGAGTCGACATGTGTTCTAGTGAATCTGAGTCCTGAGTCAGTCAGGAAACACATATTGTGATCAGTGAAGCAACAAGGAATTCAGCAAGATTTTTGCTGACATATTATCTTCTCTTTCCTGTTTGGGAGAGTGAGAAAGATGTGTATTGCTTTAGACTTGTGAAGTCACTTCCTGTTGGTAATCTTCTGCTGGTTCTTGTGTCTGGGCTGACAGGGTCAGAGCATCGGCATGTCTCAGGCCATGAAAAAAACCATTGGCCATCGTGGAATTGACCCCACAGGAGAGACAACATACAAAAAGGTGCCATCATACTTTAGTCTTTTTGAATTTTAGGCAAGGCTTGTAAACCTGTGACGAATGTTCATTGTAACCTTTTGATGGAAGATTTCCAAACTTCTCGGGCGTCCTTCCACATTTTCTTTCAAATAATCAAAGCTGTCTTGTTCTGTTGGCAGCTTTTAACTCCCTGATAACACTTTAAACCTTTCAACTCAAATCTATGTAACATTTTTCTGTTCTGTTGTTTTCAAGCTGATAAACAACACAGTGTTAAATCGATGTAGTCTAAAAAAGAAAAGAAAAGAAAAGAAAAGCTGGATTGTGGGTTGATTTACAGACAAAAGCACCCTGAAATTAAGAATTCCCTAAAATAAAACAAAGAATCACATGGATCAACCAGGCCAGTCCTCAGACACGTGCACTTCACCGGTAATGGACAGCATGAAGTATGTAATCACATTTAGTTGTAAGAAAATACAGCACAGCGGGTTTTATCCCAATCCTATTATATCAGGAACAATGATGCAACGAACAGAAGCTGGGATTTTAGATCTTACTGCAGCTGTTTAAATACTGTGTGTGTGTGTGTGTGTGTGTGTGTGTGTGTGTGTGTGTGTGTGTGTGTGTGTGTGTGTGTGTGTGTGTGTGTGTTAGTTTTTATTAATCCACAAGGTCTGTGGTTTTATGATAGTCATCAAATCACAGGTACATTTTTGTCTGATTTGGCTTTACAATATCTGATCGTATTTATTTTCAATTTTATTATTTTAATTAAAATAAAAGGAACGTTGTAGCTAAACCAAGGCTATTGTTCCTGCCATGTATTTCTATCACTTCATTAAAAGCTTAAAGCAAAACTTAAAGAGCAAGTAACGCCTAAATTAACCTTTTTTTTTTTGCTGATAACCTGTATAGATGAGTGTCTAATGGTGCTGTACACATGTGTAATCATTAGTGTGGCAGTTTAGTGCAACTTACTCTAAATTTAAGATTTCAGCCCAAAACCATAATTATATCTCCATCTTCAGGTTAAAAACTCTGCTCCACATTTATGTAGAACCAGCTGTGGCTGATGGCTAGGCTGAAAAACGTGACGTTATCAGCAAAGTACTACGTGGCTGGACCGCACTGGTCCCCAGGTGAGGCAGCTGCACCTCCACCTGGCTCAGCCACACACCTGCCGATTTGACACATAAGCGCTCAGAGCCGCTCGCCTCCTTGACAAAAATACCCTCCTCCCCTTTTTCATCTAATGATCGTGGTTAACAGGAAATCCTCCAGAACGCTGCAGAATCTGTCTGCTTTTCTTCCTGAGCGGTAAGTCTTGTGTGAGTGAGTGCGTGCTTGCGTGCACGCGCTCGTCAACAACTTGGTTATAGATTCAGAAACCGACGGCACTGGGGGTCTACCACTGCCTCGGTGCCGCTCTCTCATTCTGCCAGGTGACGCCTCTTTCCGAAACGTTTTCCTAACAGGAAGTGTGGATGAAATACGTCTCCACCCAGGCATTGACCCTCACTTAAATAAGTTTCCTGCTTCTCCCTCCTACTGGTTGAAAGCAAAATTACAACTGTTGTACAACCTTACAGTAGCTAGAGCTAATTATGAGCTAATGCTAACACATCCAACTGATACTAAGTAAGCTACTAAGTAAAAAAAAAATCCACACTGTTGAACAAAAACATATTACAAGTCCAATAGCAACGAAGCCAGGTCACCATCAGTCCATGATTTTGTAGCTGCCTGTAGCTCCCTCAAACAAGTGTAGGCTGCGCCAATGTTGACTCTGGTTTTAGCTCTTTGCGTCAACTCCAAAGACATTACTCTCACTTTTACTTCCAGGCTCCACCATGATGCTAACAAAAATGCTAAAATCTTCTTATTGATGGTTGGGGAACTGACTGAGCTAACTCTTATCCTTTATATTGGCTACCAGCACAGTAAAGCAGGTAGACCTCCACTGGTCCTACTTGAGGCGAAAAAACTGTTAAGTGCCGCTTCTGGTTAGCAGAGGGCAACAGTGTGTTGTCCAACGTGAAGTTGGTCAGGTTTATGCCTCAAGAACCACTGAAACCAGTTTTAAAGCAATAGCTTTATTTTTCTCTTTTTGTTTCATTCAAAGTATTAAAAAAAAAAATATATATATATATATACCGGTATATATATATATATAAATATACAAACAACAAAAAAACATACATAAACATGAACAGCAAACAATTTGAATGAAAAGGGGCAGAAGGAAGAAATATCTTATATTATCTGCCCCTATTTACAAACCAAACTTTTTAATAATGCTTCATACAATTCTCAATAAACAACAAAACAAAAAACAGATTCATTTTATATTCTTCCAACTTACAGACCTAATCAAACACCAACTGAATTTAGGTTATTGTAGTTCTGTAATACACTTGATTTGATACATTTTTAAAATATATTTAGTGACTTTGATTCTTTTATGTCTTTGCTAAGGTTGTTCCATATTCTCACACCATTTACAGAGATTTCCTTCATTCTGGTTCTAAATTTCGTTTTTTTTTAAATAATTCAGTTCCTTTTAAGAAATAATTACTGACTTTTTTTTCTAACATTTTCTGAATGTTGGTGGGTAATGTATTGGTTTTAGCTTTATACATTGTTTGCAATATTTTCATATTCACTAGATCATAAAATTTCAGTAGTTTATATTTGATGAGTAACGGATTGGATGGATCTCTATAGTGATTGCTATTAATTATTCTCAATGCTCTTTTCTGTAGAATAAACAGTGGTTGTGTATGAGTTTTACATGTGGATCCTCATATTTCTACAAAGTAAGTCAAGTATGGATCAATTAGTGAGTTATACAATGTCAGCAATCCAGAAATATTCAGTTAAAACTTAACTTTACGTAGTACTGCAATGGCTTTGGCAATTTTACCTCTGATATGACCTATGTGTGACTTCCAGGTGATAGTTTCATCAAACATGACTCCTAAAAATTTCATTTCTTTCACCCCTTGAATGTCCATTCCATTTATTTTTATTGTTACATCTTTGTCTCTGTCATTAAACAATATAAAATTTGTTTTATTAAGATTCAGTGAAAGTCTGTTTATGTCAAACCAGTTGTTAACTTTTATCAGTTCGTCATTTATCACTCTAGTTACTTCATTAATATCTGACCCTGAATAGAACAATGTTGTGTCATCAGCAAATAAAACAGTACTGAGTAGCTTAGATACACTTACAAGATCATTAATAAATAGTATGAACAGTTTAGGTCCAAGGACCGACCCTTGTGGCACACCATAATTAATCTCCCGCAGTTCTGATTAAGTGTTGTTTAGTTGGACAAATAGTTTTCTATTCTTAAAATCTTAACAACTCTTCTGTTTTTGTAGTTTTGTAAACATGTGTTTTAAAACTTTTCCTGTCAGACAAGATCTTCTGCCCTGAAAGGTGCGATCCAGCTGGGCATCACTCACACGGTGGGCAGCTTGAGCCAAAAACCTGAACGAGATGTGTTGCTGCAGGACTTTGAGGTGGTGGAGAGCATCTTCTTTCCCAAGTGAGTTTTTTTTTAGTACTTTTCACGTAAAGCAGTGTTGTTTAATAAATAAAGGTGTTCCTTATCTGTTGCCTGTGAATGTTTTCCTCTCTTTATTTGGCCCTTTTGTTGAATGTAAACATTCTTTCCTGTTTCAGCGAGGGCAGTAACCTGACACCCGCCCACCACTATGGAGACTTCAGATTCAAAACCTACGCGCCTGTGGCCTTTCGTTACTTCAGAGAGTTGTTTGGCATCCGCCCCGATGACTACATGGTAGGTTTAGTTACACTACATTTGACCTATTCAGAAAACAGGCATGTAAAGGTAATCTGAATAATGAGAAGAATGGAGTGATTGAGTAACCGGTGAGACTGAAACCGAGGATGTGTTGACAAAAAGGGTGGAGCTTTTGTCATGTTTTCTTCCTGATAACCTGATGTTTGTTCCATTTGTTTACAGTATTCGCTGTGTAACGAGTCACTGATTGAGCTCTCAAGCTCCGGGGCCAGCGGGTCTCTGTTTTACCTCTCTAGTGATGACGAGTTCATCATTAAAACGGTGCAGCACAAAGAGGCGGAGTTTTTACAAAAACTTCTGCCGGGGTACTTTATGGTAAGAACCACAAAACCATGCAGGATCATCTACTGTTGTCCCAAGCTGTAAATGTAACTCGTCGTTGACTTGGTAGGAAATTTGACATGTGATTTATTTTTTGCAAGAAAGCAGAGATGACACCAGAGATTTTCGTTTGCAAAAACTGGAAGGAAAAAAAGGCTGAATCATTGTTAATTGAGGATTTTAGGCAGAAATTATCACAATTGTTATTGTTTACTGATATTTATAGAAAAGGAATTGGCTCAAAAATATTAGAGAAAATGAAGCTTAACACATTTTCTAAACAAAGTTGGAGTTTTGAAAGAGTTTTGTCAGACGTTTGTTTATTTGATGGTGGTTTGTGATTGCATACGTGAAGTGTTAGTGTTTTGTTTTCTCTCTCACAACATTTAATTTACCTTTCTCCTCTGTTCTTCCTCAGAACCTGAACCAGAACAGGAGGACCTTACTGCCAAAGTTTTACGGGCTGTACTGCGTCCAGGCAGCCGGTAAAAATATTCGAATCGTTGTCATGAACAATCTGCTGCCCAGCCCCGTGCAAATGCACCAGAAGTTTGATCTGAAAGGCTCCACGTATAAACGACGAGCTTCGCCCAAGGAGAAGGAAAAGGCTGTGCCCACCTACAAGGACCTGGACTTTATTCAGGACATGCAGGAAGGAATTTTGCTGGAGGGAGACAAGTACAGCGCTGTTTGTAAAACCATCCAGAGAGACTGTTTGGTACGATTTCTATAAAAAATATGAAAAACATTTTATTTGTAAAAATCTACTTCTAACGTGGTCTCTCATTACTTTTGTTCTTTCTCTCACCTTCAGCTCCTTCAGAGTTTCAAGATAATGGACTACAGCCTCCTGGTGGGAATCCATAATGTGGATCAGGCCTGTCGAGCACAGGCTAGTGAAGAAGCCGAAGCTACAAGGAGGCCTCAGGTTCAAAAGTCCCTGTTCAGCACGGCTATCGAGGCCATCCAGGCTGAGTCAGGAGGAGTGGGATCTATGGATCCAGAGGACCAGTGAGTGGCCGTGCGATAGCAGCCGTGGGAACGCCTCAGGCAAAGTCAAAGAAACACACAATCCTGTGTTTTGTTTTCCAGGACTGGGGGAATTCCGGCACGGAACGCAAAAGGCGAGAGGCTGCTGGTGTACATGGGTATTATCGACATTCTGCAGTCTTATAGGTAACGAGGCTCGGTTTTACTCTCACAGACACCAAAACACAAACCTGGGTTGTCGATGGATGATTTTCTGATGAGTGTAGCAAAAAATCGACAATAGGAATAGCTTCCCACCAGTGTGGAAGTTTAGGAAGTTAGAGAAAGCATTGAATATTTCCTACAGATGTTTAGTAGTTGGTAACACAGGATGAGGTTTTCTTTAGAGTTTACAAGATGCAAGGGGACACATGTAAGGAAAGCATGAGCTGTTGTCACACAGTTAAAATATGGTTTAGATATAATCAGGTTTTTTTTTTTTTTTTTTTGAGCCGGATCTTGTTCTGGCAAGATCCGGGAACTGGCTTATTTTGAAAGGACCGTCCCGGCAACTGTCTGCTAGGTTCCGGCAATTCACGGGTCCAACTTGTGTTATACGCAGGGTTCGAATTACGGGTGAGCTAAAGTGAGCCCGGCTCACCCGAAAGGATGACGGGCTCCCCTGGAAGCCCTCAACTTACACACCCAGGGGGAGCCCGGTAAAGATCCTGGTTCTACTCCTATTACATTATTTATGTGGAGTCTCCGGTAGGGATGGGTACCTTTGACAATTGAATCGATCCGGTACTAATTCCCGGTACCTACGAATCGATACCGGTACTTAACTGTACCAATTTTCGATACTTTTGAGTGTTTATTATTTTTAATTCTCTTTTATAATTAAATATATATTTTTCTCAATATATAACAATATTTGATAAATATCACGATAAATAACATACAACTGTTTGTATTTTAACATCGTCCTTGTAGTTTTATAAGCTAATAATTAAACTGAAACAAACATCTTTACTGTGAACTAAATTTACTGCGTATCTTCATTCCTTTTGCCGTCCTTTTTCAATTGATTTTTCCTACTGGGAAGTTAGAATTTCCGAGGAGAAAGCGAACGCACCATTAGATGATAACAATGGTGGCATAGGAAGCTAACATATCAAGCTAACGTTATCTTAAACAGTTTATTTAACTGCTGGAGCAGATTAAAACGATGATGCCTCACACTTAGATCGTTGTCGCTGGTTTCATCTTCACCCAATCACCCGTCGCATTTGGTAAAGTGAAGCCAAACTTTAGAGCGCGTTCATGTTCTTCTAGTCGGAATTTCGGAGTTCCGAGGAGAAAGCGAACGCACCATTAGTGAAACGGAAGCTAACATATCAAGCTAACATTATCTTAAACATTTTATTTACCTACCGGAGCAGATTAAGATGAGGATGTCTCACTTAGATCGTTGTCGCTGGTTTCATCATCACCCAGTTACCCATCACATTTAGTGAAGTGGACCCAAGCTTTAGCGTTCGTTCTTTCTACCCATGCTGCTCTGTTTACAACTCGCTCACAGCGACCGATGACATAACGCTCTTGCGCATGCGCAGCTGTCTTGGCAAGTTCTCGTTGTGAAGGACGGGTACCGAAACGAGGCGCCGTTTCAAATCGGTGCTCGGTCGGTACTGTGGAATTCGGTCGGTACCTTAATAAGTACGAATTCGGTACCCATCGCTTGCTCTCCGGGGATTATTTTGAGCTGTGAGGATATTTTTGAATTGCAGTTCAAATGTGACTCATGAGGTGAAAGTATTTGAAGCCAGGTAGCAGCTTTTCTTTAGGATTGAGAGGAGATGCAGGAAGATAATAGACAGATAGGACAGAACAATAGTCGCATAAAAAACAAGAAAACAAAACAAAGTGTTTGAAAAGGAAAATGGAGGCAGATTCATTCCATTACACATTTTTAACTTTCTAAGGCAATAATTTATAAGCATGTAATATTTATATATTTGATACAATTCAGATCTCCTTCTAACCTCAGTCCCTCACAGGACCGTAAGGCATTTCAGGGGCCAAGTCGAGAATGAAGCCACTTTCAGCGCGTCTTTGTCCGATATCGATTTCATTTTTTTCTCTCGGAAGGTCCTGCTGAGAGACGGCAGCTTCCTTTTTCCTTTTTTCCTTAATCCGGTGGAATTTCATTGTTTTTCTGAGACAGCTTACATGCGCTGCCGTGTTGGGCGCTCATTTTTGCATCTGGAGGTTGCAACAAACAGACACCATTGAAGGTAATCATTACCACAGAAGTGAGGAACAGAAAATGAAATGATTCTTTCAATGTTTAGAGCAGCAAGGAACTCTGAGAGGCTGCAGGCGCACCAGTGAGTTTGCGGCCGCTGCGCAGGGGGAGGGGGGGAGGGCTGAAGCAGGGGAACAGTAAAGATGCAAAAACTACCATTGTTGAAAGAGATGTGTGTTAACTTTGAAAATGTGGGCGCAATTGTTTTTATTACTTGTCAAAAACTCCAGTGGGGGCTGGGGGGTGCGTCGACATGGTCGGGACTTAGAAGGGGGAGCGTGGCTAAATAAGTTTGGGAGCTGCTGCTATAGAGTGAGTAAAGTGTATTTATATAGCTCCTATCGCAGATGAAGTCAGAGGGTGCTTCACAAAAACATCACATTTTTTACACGATTAAGAGACAAAAACTAAAAGAATAAAAGATTGTCAAAAACAAAATATAAAACAACGGAAGAGGATCGGGGCCACTGGAGAAAAAAAGTCAGAATTCTGTTTCTAGTTTCTTTTTTTGTTTGTTTTTATTGTCAGTGGCACTAATCTTCTTCTATATGAAACAAACAAATACAGATCATCAAAAACAAAAAAGATCATAAGACTACGGGAGAAGATTAGTGCTACTGAAAAGAAAGAAAATGAATTCTGATTTAGAAAATATTTTTGTAAATATTTTATTTTCCACACATTCAACTTTGTGATTAAATCTGACATTATATTAAAAATCATCTTTGAATGCTGACAGTTCTATTGTAGTGACAAATCAGCAGTGGGTCTGAGATGTATGAGATGTATTTATTCTGTCTCAGACCTGACTTCTGCGTGTTTTCTCAGGTTTGTAAAGAAGCTTGAACATTCCTGGAAAGCCCTGGTGCATGATGGGGTACGTTTGATCATTTTGCTGACTCGCAATGTTCAAAAACACAGATTCTAACAGATCTTGCTGTCTTCTTAGGACACCGTGTCGGTGCACAGACCCAGTTTCTATGCAGATAGATTTCAGAAGTTCATGTGCTCCACAGTCTTCAGAAAAATGCCCAGTAGGTTCATGCCGCATCAAAGTAAAGATAAATAAATCCTCTCTCCTGCTTTTTCGTTACGCTTTTTTGTTTTTCTTTCAGCAAAAACCTCCCCGACTAAGAAGCGCAGAGCCAATGGTCTGTTGAGAAAAACGCCCAGCTCTGGGCTGACCCAAACTGACACCAGCAACCAGATGTTTCCACTCCAACATCTGTTCAGCTCAGACACCGTAGAGGATGCGGAGGTAAACAAAGGTAAGAACTAAGCTGGTTTAACTGTGGGTTGGAAAACATGTCTTGTGTGGCGATAACTTCAAATGCTTGCCAGCACGTGACACCATATCCTCCTCTTCCCTCCAGTAATGCAGTCAGGTCGACCTGACATCCTCCCACTGATGCCATCGCCTTGCAACACCGAGGACGACACTCCAGGATCCTCCGCTTCTTCCTCCCAGGTCAACTCAGGATTCACTCCCACAACTCATCCTCCATCTAGCCCTGAGGAGGCTTCAGTGGGAGTGGGTGGAAATCAGGCAACACTCAGAGAGCTGGAGCAGAGCACCCCCGAGAGGTGGGAGGTGGAACAACACACGAAGCCTAGCGTTTGAAACCTTTTGATGGTTTGGGTTTAACTGATCCCATCTTTGTTTTCAGAGCTCAGTCTGCTCTTGATGAAAGCATCAGTGCCAAGGATCTCCCTTAGCGACGTGATTTCTCATGTAAGCAAAAGATCTGCACGTAGACCACAGGCTCCCCCCTGACTCTGCTGTTTTTTATAAGCAGACCTGTTTGGTTTGCAGGTGTAGATGTGGAAAAGTGAACTGAACTCGTAGGCTTAAATGACAGCCTTTGTGTTATTTGAGGTACCATGACCAATAACGTCTTGTAGGATATCAGTGATAACAGGTGGGGTGTTATATATTTGCTCCTGTTCTTTGCACTTTTGATTATTTCCAAACAAGTGTGTTTTGACACTGTTAAATGTGAGTACGTTGTTGAGGTGGGTGGTAAACACTACCGTTCATTCTATAGGAGTGCCTGTATTCACAACTATGTTCATTATTACGGTTCTCTGCTCTGATGTGATCATTTAAAGCAGTTTCACGCGGGGGCTTCGCCTTGTTTGCGTGTAGAAATTGTAATTAATTTTCTTGTTTTTGTCCAGTTTCGGACACGGTTCCTTTTTGCGTTTACTACATTACTGTTGCACATTTTCTTTGAAACTTTATTCATCACCATTATACTGTTTGTAAAATATTGGTGCATATGGATTCTTGGCTGTTTGTTTATATTATCGAATTGAACATTCCATCACTGCCATCTGGTCCAGAATGGATCAAAATTGGACTAAAGGACAGAAATCAGGAATGTTTTATGTATGTATGTGTGTGTGTAAAATAACTGTAGTAGGGAGGGAGTGAGGATGATGCCTCAAAAATGCTTCTTATTTCTTAAAAGCGGTCATTTTTTAAATCTTTTCAAACTAGAAAGTGTCAAGCTGCCACCTAGTGGCCATGGGCGACATTGCAGGTTCTTCCACTGGCTTCTGATGCAAGATGACTACATCTATCTTTTATGTAGAGTTTATACACTTTAATGTTGTTTTCCTTTTATGTTTAATTATTAAACAGTCTTTTAAAAATAGGGGTTGGTGTTCAAGAAATTACTATTTGTTTTTGATACAACGCTGTAATGTGATTTTTCTATGATTGCCAGAAATGTCCACAATGCTGGAAAAAAGATGGGACTTTGATTTTTATTTGACCACATTTACTAATGGACCTTTACTGCTTTAGCTACTGTGAATTCTAACGTCTAATGCTAAGAACAAAGCAATATTTTAAAAGAAAGTTTGTTTGTTTTTATACCTCTATGATCAAATGTGGCTTGCAGGTGGCGATTAAGCACCACAACAAAGAATAAACGAGGTGCATTTGACGAAATAAGACTACTGAGTTTGTTAGCAGTGTTAAGACTTAATCTAGTCTTTTTTGCCTGATGAGGACGTTTAAACTAGGCGTTGATCAAACCTACAAGGAGGAGTTTGTGTGACGACGAGTACCAAAGAGCATGAAATGACGTTGTAGCAGGCTGGCACAATCAATTTTCATTATTATTATTGATTCTAACAAGGATCTGATGTGGTTGGTATTACGTACTTCATCTGATTGTATACTTGGCATTACACAAAGTTATGGATGGAGTTTGATAATGATCCAGATTCAAATCACTTTTTCTTTCTTTTATTCTTTTTTTAATCTGTCTTTTGCAGAAGCATGCAGCTATAAACACCACTTGTTTATGATATTTGAAATAATGTTTGCAGTCTAATCAACTTCTTATGTCTGTGAAATATCATTTCTAATTAAAATGTATTGTCACAGGATGGTTTCACTGTTTTGTTTTTGTTTGTTAGAAACAAAGTACTTTTTTAAACCGACAACACCTTTTTGTAAACCTACTAAGTCAATGATTAAAATTTTCATTAAAAGAGAAATTGAAATAAAAATTTCATCACGTTTGGTTTAAATTGGTCAATATTTATGATTCATTCCAATGTTAAAGAAACCTGTTAAAGAAAAATGTATGCACAGGTTTCCTTTCCCACACAAATCCACCTACCAAAAATTAAAATAAAACGACGTAAACAGACCATGCCACATTTTGAAGAGCAAGTCACCCCCTACCAGAATCTTAAGGTTGGTTTATGCTTGACGCGTCCGCGAGGTCCGCACGGCTCCGCGCGGAAAAGTTGCGTCATTTTAACAACCACGCCCCTCCACCGCGTCTCCGCACGGCCCAAGATTTCCGCAACGTGCACCTCGGAAAATTTCTAACCACGCAGACGGTCGGACGCGGAAAAACATGGCGGACCGGCACGGCAGAGGTTCGTAAATACAGACATTTGTATGATTCAGCTCTCAGAGATCACCGTGATCAACACGTTGTTAATAATTCTTGGAAAGAAATAGCTCGCACTGTCGGAAAAGACGAGAACGCTGATAAAAATGCTGAAATACCATGTTGTAAACAGTGATTTCTACTTCTACTATGGTGTAGTGTTGGATGCATGCCGTAGAGCTCCATGCTGCCCCGTTCAGTTTGGGAGAATATTGGCTCACCGCAGAGACGAGCCGCACAAACCATAAACGCTGCGAGTTGTGAAGCGCGTTCCAGCCGCGAGCCGCATCACCGCGCGGAAAGTGAATGCGTCAAGCATAAACCAAGCTTTACTCCACTCCCACCTCCTGCTTGAAAAATGCAAGTGCTGTTGCCTGGCAGACCAAGAGGGCAAAGCCACTAACAAATACACAGGCTCATAATGACATTGTGACATCATATGGTACCAGCTAACATCATCAGGTAGGCCATTCCCCTCTGTACCTGGTCGGCCTTGCCCGGATAGCTCCAGTCGGCCCCAGACTGGCCCGGTTGATTCCACACATCCTTGCTTAGGTATGCAAGGAATGCAGTCAGAGACATTTTCAGCTTCTAGGTAATCAGCATGATAATGAATTGAGCATGCCTTAGGCCCATGTGGGCTGATTCTTCCCACCAATCAGAGGCTTGCTCTAATGGAAGGTGTGAATTTGCTGTCAGCAGTGGGTGTGTTGGCCCTGGTCAGCCTGAAGCAGACCACCTCAGAAAGAGGGCTGAAAAACACTCTTGTTGCACCCTGAAAAAAGGCAGGCCACCAAGATATGTAAGCAAGCTATGCTATCCGGGCCGGGCCGACCAGGTACAGATGGGAATGGCCCAAGAGTTTCCCCTACATACTCAGGCGTAGTGCTGCTCCACGGCTGAAATTCCAGCGCCATGCCTACGAGATCCCCCCCACACACACACACACATACGTGCCCTGAAGGGAAGCACTCCGAGCACGACCACCTCCCCCCTCTCTCACTGACAACGCACGGCAGTGAAACAGTCCACACCACGGCTGGAAAAATTTCTGGGGGAAACACTTATCATAGTGTACCTCTTAGCCAATAGCAATGGCAGATTTAAATTCAAATGTGGTGCAGAGTTTTAACCTAAAGACAATACAACACCAACTGTTTCAGGCAGAATATTTCAAAATTAACTAAGATGCACTAAATTGCCAAATAGTTCACTAGATGTGTCTACAGCATTAATAGACACTAATTTATATAATTTGTCAGCAGAAAAAAAATTTGATTTGGGGGTGACTTGCTCTTGAAACTTGTATCTCCTTGGACAGAAAAGAAAAATTGGTGGCTCCAAATCTTATCGTCAATAATTTTACATTAAACTTAAACAATGAGTTTGAATTATTTAGTAGACTGTGCAGCCGAGTGTTATGTGGGTTTCAAAACTACTACTTTATAAGCGTTTCAACCGTGGCATTTTACGTCCAATCATATTTTATCTTATTCAGCGTTCACCCAATAGCACAGGGGTTTGTCAGATTACGTCAGAGCAACAAGAAGTTTCCAAAATGGTGCTGGAAAGTACTATGGTTTGGTAAGTACATGAAAAATTGCGCTTTAAAGTGTATTTTACCTTTTAGCAAGTTATATAAATACGTATTAGTTCAGTGTTTGATCGTTTATTAAAATTAGGCGATAAATTAGGAAATATCCCAGCATGCTAGGCTAAAAACCGAGCGTTGACTGTTAGCTGAGTCATTGTTAGCTACAGTCAGGTCGGAATTCTTGTAATTATTTTGCCGCTTTAAGTCCGATATCATGTATTGATGTTAGAGCCTAAATGTGTAAGTTTTTCGGTTTAAAACAGTAGTTGATTACACAAATGCTGGCATTGTTTTGATCAGCTGCTAATCGTCGCTTTAATTTTGCTATGTAGCAAGCCGAGTTTGTTTTTTTCCACAGAAACGTAGCTGAAGAGAAGCTGTGTCATTAAGTCTTCTAAGTCATTAACTAGTTTGTTTACAGACTAAAGTTTGAAAGTCAAACTGACATTTCCCTCAGTGTGGACAACAGCGAATACATGAGAAATGGAGATTTCCTACCCACGAGGCTACAGGCTCAACAAGATGCTGTCAACATCGTTTGTCACTCAAAAACACGCAGCAACCCAGAGAACAACGTGGGACTCATTACCATGGCAAAGTAAGCATGAATAAAATAATTGTGATCTTCTGAGCTCAGTAATGTTATCGATCGGGTTGCTGCAGCACTCCGTGCCACTAGAGGCGAGAGTAGACCGATGTGCTGAGGAGAGTTAAAGAGTTAAACAACACGCTACGACTGTATTTACTCCTTTATGATGAATAATGCTTTCCTGATGTTTTTGTTGTTGTAGTAACTGTGAAGTCCTCACCACACTGACACCAGATAGTGGTCGCATTCTGTCCAAACTCCACGCTGTCCAGCCTATAGGACAGATGTGCTTCTGTACGGGCATCAGAGTGGCTCATGTAGGTTCAAGCGTGGAGATGGTAACCTGGGCATTATAATGTTTTTATATTCTCTGTATTTCTCCTACTAAGATACATGGGTAACTATTTAATGGATACTTTTATTTTGAAATTATTCATGTGTGTTACATATTTGATCAATGTGATTCAAATGCACAATGTATTATGGGTGAAGGATGTGTTATTGTTGCAGCTCTACCACGGAGTCACAGCTGATGTGTCAGTCATCACCGGCACCAGGAACTCATTAAAATCCTGCTTAATGTAGTTTCTGACAGGAGATGCAAAACAAAACAAAAAAAAGTCTACGACATCAAATTGTAGATTTGTACTACGATCTCATATCTGTTACAACGTGACCTCATCAAGTACAAACATGTCTCAAAATGTGTCAAACATACCAATATGGTTTGGTTCCAGCTGAAAGTTTGTGCATTTTCTCAGAATTCTGTAAACAGCTGCTTCAGTGATGCTACTTAGTTAGCAGCTAGCTGTTATAAGAACTATATGCATAATCTGTAGAAATCACATTTGCTTTTGCTAATTATTATTAATTTTTATGTCATTTAACCCTGAAAAACTCCCCAGAGTTCAATGTAACTAAACTGGAACCCAAATCTGACTCACTTTTCATGAGTTTCTGCCCTAACCTGGGTGAAACTACCCAGTGTACAGTTTTTTTTTCCTTGATCAGCTGATGATTCATGGTAGAGCACTGAAATGTTCCTGTTTCTCTCTCATACACTTTCTCCCACTCTCGCTTATCTTCTTGGTCTTAGTGTAATATCAGCAGCTTCCCTTTTTCTTTGCTGCTTTTGGTTTACAGAAACAGCTACAGTAAATTTATTTAACCATATATACAAACAGTAATCGAGTCTTTTATCATATAAATTAATATTGTTGCATTCTCTTATGTTAAGTAAATCAAATGTTTTGCTTTGTGCAGAAGCCCCTCCTAAGTCTCCATGTTTTTGCTTTTCTCTTGTAGCTGGCCCTTAAGCACCGACAAGGTAAAAACCACAAAATGAGGATCATTGCTTTTGTTGGAAGTCCTGTAGAGGATAATGAAAAAGATGTGAGTTTAATATCTTGTTCTTGGATAGAAACGTTGATCTGTTAATGTGTGAGGACTGTGTAAACTCTGACCTGCGTTCTTAGCTTGTTAAGATGGCAAAGCGCTTGAAAAAGGAGAAAGTGAATGTGGACATCATCAACTTTGGAGAAGAGGTAATGAGTTATTGGTTTAGTTTAGTTTTCCACCATCCGAGTCTTTCTTCTGCTTTCAACCGCATGACTGTTTCGATTCAGGAGGCAAACACAGAAAAGCTGACTGCTTTCATCAACACTCTGAACGGGAAGGAGGGAGCAGGCTCCCACTTGGTCACTGTCCCTCCAGGGCCCAGCCTGGCGGACGCTTTGCTGTCCTCTCCCATCCTGGCTGGGGAAGGAAGCTCCATGGTGGGTCTCGGCGCCAGCGACTTTGAGTTTGGTGTGGATCCCAGCGCTGATCCAGAGCTGGCCCTGGTGAGAGACCCCGCAGAGCGCCGTAGATGATTTAAAAACGCCATAAAAGGAAATGAAAATGTTTTGACCTATAAAAGCAACCTAATAACACTAGATATGAATATTTTTCTTTCATTTTTCAAATATTGTAAAGCATTTTGTGACTTTAAGTTTCCCTTCAAGCTCTGTGTGTAATTATTACACTTTGACCTTGTGGGGTTTATCTGCAGACTCAGACGACGCCACCCACGCTTGAATGTTTCCCAGAGTGATATTGGGAACTTTCTCACATGAAAGCGGATATGGATGCTGGTGTTTTTAATTATCTTGTGCCTTGCTTTTAGGCCCTGCGTGTTTCTATGGAAGAGCAGCGACAGAGACAGGAGGAGGAGGCACGCAGAGCTGCTGCTGCTGAGGCAGGCGTGCCCACACCCAGTACTGATGGTAACTAAAATCTTTTGTCATGTGTTGCATTGAATAAAAAATGGTAATGATTTCTTTTGTGCCCTTCACAGAATCAGAGGAGGCCTTACTGAAGATGTCCGTTTCTCAGCCTGAGGGTGATGCCGCAGCGCTTCCTGATTTCAGCAGCATGACAGAGGAGGAGCAGATAGCCTACGCCATGCAGATGTCTCTGGCTGGAGAGGGTTAGTTTTATTTGTGAAACTAATTTATGGGAGAAAAAGTTGGGTGTGTTGGATAAATTGTTATTTGTGAACAGAGTACGGTGAAACAGGAGCCCCCATGGACACCGCAGAATCAGCCAAGGTGAGTTGTGTTGTTGCAACTTTAATTTTTTAGATGCTTTTATTTTTGTTTTTTAACTCTGGTGTTTTAATGATTTTTTAGACCTTTTAAACCTTTTTCTAATTAAAGAAAACAAGACCTTGCAGGACTGCTGATGGCCAACCAACCTGAAGGTTTTGCTTAAAGAGCAAGTCACCCCCTACCAGAGTTTTACTCCACTCCCACTTCATGTTTGAAAAATGCAACAAAGCTGTTGCCTAGCAGACCGAGAGGGCGTAGCCGCTAACAAATACACACACACACAGGCTCACAATGACATTGTGACATCATATGGTACCAGCTAACATTCTAGGGTACCTCTTAGCCAATAGCGATGGCAGATTTAAATTCAACTTCAGTGCAGAGTTTTTACCTGACAACGACACAACACTGCCAGTTTTAGGCAGAAAATTTAGATTTTTACTAAAATGCACTAAAGTGCAAAACTACTGACTTCACGTGTCTGCAGCACGATTAGACACACATTTATATAGTTTATCAGAACAAAAAGGTTGATTTGGGGGTGACTTGCTCTTTAATGTTGAAGGTTAAAAATAATCACAACGGTAAAACTTTCTATTGGAGCTGAATTTTGGAGCTCCTAGTTGTAAAAAAGGCAAAGAAAACAATATTATTCAAATTCTGGTTTTGGAATAATAATAAAAATGTCAAAAAGAAACTTTGAATTAATTCATGGGTTCATTTTTTCAGGGCTACTTGATAAGGGCTGCATGGTGGCGCAGTGGTTAACACTGTTGCCTCGCAGCACGAAGGTTGCAGGTTCGAAACTCGGCTGCGGCCTTTCTGCGTGGAGTTGCGTGTTCTCCCCATGCATGCGTGGGTTTCCTCCGGGTATTCCGGTTTCCCCCACACATCACAACATGCCCTATAGGTTATAAACTGTAAGTCGCTTTGGATAAAAGCGTTTGCCAAATGAATAAACATAAGCGAAAGAAAACTAATTTTAGTCCATAGCACAAAAACAATTCTTTATCATGACAACTCATTGAGCAAGAAAACACTACTGTTGGCGAGTCTAGCCACTGGGTCGCCGAGCAGCTTATTAGGGAATGTGTCGACGCGCCCTCAGAGCCGATCCATTCCAGGTTTAGATTCAAACGATTTTATTGTTTGTCAAAAATGTTTCCTTTAAAATGCATTTATCAGCGTTCACAAGCATCACACAACAAGAAAAATGAAAAGATCCACTAAAGAGGTATTAATCTATGCAGAAAGCATTTGAGCGGTCAGCAAAGGTTGGCTTCCCCATCACCTGCTCACTATACAATATCCCACGCATGTAAGCAACAGGTAAATAACAATCGATAGACACCACGTGACCCGAGACGACCACTAACCACCACAACTACCTAGATATGGATTTAGATCAGCAGGGGGCAGAGTTGTTGTTTAGTGGTGATTTAACTTCATGAGCTCATAAATTAAGATATCAGAATGACTGATCAAGTTAGAATCACTATAAACTATCATAAAGATGCATATTTGTAGTTTAGGATAAACTCAACAATTTTCAACAATCAGGTAATAGTTGAAAAAACAGGCAATTTAATTATCTACTTGAGCAAAACATAGGTAAGAAAGGGTAGAACAGCTGCTATGGAAGCCTGGATGGTATAGAAATGTTTAAAAAAATCTTAATGATTAAGTTTGAAAAGAAAAACTATTGAAACTAAATCTAAACTAGTTTAATTTTCTTATTTAAAAAGGAGGATGAGGAGGATGATTACGACGTGATGCAAGACCCAGAGTTCCTCCAGAGAGTCCTGCAGAACCTGCCTGGTGTTGATCCCAACAACGAGGCTATCCGAGACGCCATGGGCTCCCTGGCTTCCCAAACGGGAAACAAGCCGGACAGCAAAAAAGATGAAGAGAAGAAGAAATGAGCAGAGGAAACTAAAGATGAACAATTGCAGAATAATGCATGAATGAGATTGTTGGTGTGCCACACTGCACAGCAGCACTCTGCCATTTGGAATGACTCCTTCCAGATGCATGAAGGCACACACGTAGAATAAAAATGTGATGAATCAAACTAAAGAGCGTCTCTCAGAAATATAAACGAATACATTGGATGTGTTGAAATGGCTTAGTTAATTGATACAACAGAGGATTTGGGGAATAACTGATTTAGGTGAACATGACCTTGTGTGTTTTTGCAATAAAAACATTAGAATTGTGTTTTGGCTATGTTTCTATTCCTAAAGACTTCCGGTGGACTGAAAAAATGTGAAATAATTCATTTAAAAAAGGGGGTTCATTTTAAGATGTTTTAAATCTTTTCCAGGTACGTTTCTGGTAGAAACCAAACATACGTGTCGTCTGCAGCATCCTCCGTACGCTCGCCCATCACTGCGTCAAGTTCATTGGACGCGGTGGGGTCACGTGATGGGAAGCGCAGCATTTTCAGCTGAAAACGAGCTAAGGATAGTCGGGAATCGCATTTCCAGGTAAACAAAAAAAAAATACATCAAACAGTGAAGGAAATTACCCGTCCCAGCTATCGTTTCCTGCGACATCGTCGACCCCACGGTCAGCGGGTCGCGACGGCAGTGAAACCAAACATCAGCGAGGCGCTCTTGTTGCTTTTAATGACGAACGTTAGCTCGTTAGCCGAATGACCCCTCGCTCTCTCTCTCCCCCCCAGTCCCTTCGTGTTGGCTGGAGCTCAACGGGCAGCAGACGGAAGGGAGCACTGTTAGCACAAAATAACGAGACTCACCGAAACGAAACGCTCTGTTGGCCTCATCTAGGCTCACAGGATTGTTGCTGTTAAAACCATCATGCATTGAAAGCATAACTGAAGCAGTGTTTTCCATTCATAAGGCCGAGCCTGTCACTAAATAAGGGTTTGGCTGCAGCCGCCGCCGCTAGCAGCCTAGCTAAGTATAAGCTAGTCCAAAATCCCAGATCCTGCCTTTTGATCTACTTTGTGTTTGATAAATGTGCATGAATGATCATTTCTGTAAGAGATTAGGTTCATATTTACATTCCCTGATCTTTGCATGTGGCCGTTTGCAGCCAGACGTGAGTCAAGTTCACTGTCAGGATCACAGGTTGTGTGGATTTGTGATTTTAACAGGAGCGGATCCCGGTATGGGGGACATGAAGACCCCAGATTTTGATGACCTGCTGGCAGCTTTTGATATTCCTGACATAGATGCAAAAGAGGCCATCCAGTCTGCCCCCGATGAGGCTGAGGGGCCCCACGGAGCTGCAGGTGTGCCTCTGGGAAAGCCAGAAAACGTTGTGGGTGTTGGGTCTTCGCTGAGACCGCCAAGCCCTTCAGATCCTCAGGTGGACACCTCCATCGTGAGTGTGATTGTGAAGAACAAAGTCCGTCACGAGGCTGTGGATGGAGGAGAGGGAGAGACAGACCAGCACCCTATCGATGTGATCACAGGTGCAGATGTAGGTCCCCGAATCGGTGCGTGTGCTCCCGGGATGGCAGAATCTGAAGCTCTCAATCACAACGGTTTTGGAGCATCTGTGGTTTCCACGCCACTCCCCCTCAGCCAGGCTCAGTCTAACGGTGCACCGTGGTCCATGAGCAGCCCTAAAGTGTCCGCAGAAGCAGCTGGTGCCAGTACAGCCAAGTCTCACAAGCAGAGTGCTAATATTTTCAACAGACTTAAACCACTTGTGGCCCAGGGTTCTGGAGATCCAGTGGGTCGGGCCAGAAAGATGCAACTTTTGCAGCAGCAGCACCAACAGCAGCAAGATACAGGCCAAGAAAGAGCAGATGGGGTCAAAGCATCATTACCTACGTCTTCCTCCCTATCAGACGGGTCGCCTTCTTTGGCTGCTGCAGGACCTGCAGGATTGTCCTTGCCATTCTTTCCACCTACAAAGCCTCTGCTTTCAGCTTCACCGTCTGCTCCCTCGTCGCACCCGCTGCATTTGTCTCAGCCTTTTAACGGAGCTCCCAAAAGTGGTGCAGCTGGATTTCAGCACCAGCAGGTGGAGGAGGACGATTCCGACCCTGATCGGGTAAGTCCACTATTGATCCAGGAGAACCTGGACTCTCCGAGCCAACGCTACAAGTCTGATTCGGTTTCTGTGCAGCCTTCCTCCTCTGCTGCATCTCAACCCACACCTGGAGACACCCCTTCTGGGTCATCTCTGATCTCATCAACCCCACAGTTTGGCACCACGGAGAATGCACAGATTGAGGAGAGACATCCGGAGCACGTCATAGAGGAAAGAGATTCACCTGAGAGCCCTGAACCAGAGACCCCAAATCCACCCGCTCACGCCACAGCTAAAATGTGCTCCAGTCCTGCTGTCGCCTCCACTCCACCTCCTTCTGAACTACGGGAGCCTAAAGAGGAGGAGGAAGAGATGGAAGTGGGGAACGGCATCGACAGGACTGTTGACGGTAAATCAGATAAGGGAGAAAACATGGACACTGGTGGGGAACACTTAGAGGTGGGTGATGCGAAATCTAAACCCAAATCCATGGATGAAGGACAAACGGGCAGCACTGCGCCTGTTCCCCCCGGAGCTCCATCCAGACCGCTTAAAGTGCGAATAAAAACAATTAAAACCTCCACTGGTGGAATCACCAGAACTGTAACAAGAGTTGCCCCAAAAGGCGGCGCTGCAGGGAAAGGCCTGGACCCAAAAGCTCAAACTGGGGATCAGAAGACGCAAGCAAACAAAACCCAAAAATCAGAGGCTTCTGCTGGTCATGTGGCCGCATCCTCCCAGAAAGCAAGTGCTCTGAATGCTCTGCCCGTTTCCACACTTGCAGCGAGCAGCGTCATGCTCGCCGCTGCCACAAAAGTCCAAAACAAAATGGCTTCTTCAGAGAAGACGAAGGTTTCTGCAGCTGCTGTCAGCATCACCAAGTCCACTGCTCTGCCTGCAACGCCCGCGGTGGCATCCTCTCCAAAGTTCTCAGTCGCTACCGGTGGGGTAAACGTTCGCGCAGCAACTAACAAAACGGCAAACGGAGGCAGTGGGAGCCTTCAGCCAAACAAACCCGCCTCCATTGTCAACAGCACAGGAGCCGTCATCTCCCGGAGTCAGTCGAGCCTGGTGGAGGCGTTCAACAAGATCCTTAACAGCAAAAATCTTTTGCCAAGCTACAAACCGGACCTCTCTGCTCCCCCGCCGCCCGAGTGGGGTCTCCCCCTCCCCGCTACCGGGTACCGCTGCCTGGAATGTGGAGACGCCTTCGCCTTGGAGCGCAGCTTGGCACGACACTACGACCGCAGGTCGCTGCGCATCGAGGTGACCTGCAACCACTGTGCCAAGAGGCTGGCCTTCTTCAACAAGTGCAGCTTGCTGCTGCACGCGAGGGAGCACAAGGAGCGCGGGCTGGTGATGCAATGCTCACACCTGGTCATGAGGCCTGTCACGGTGGAGCAGATGATTGGGCAACAAGACATCACGCCCATCGGCGGTAGGTGATTCTGATGCTCCTCCCAGCAAATCCAAACCTTTCAGTCGTTGCTGATTTAATTTTTTGTCGTCGGGGACCTTTTGTCTTCTCTCTCCTCCACCTTTTGTATAATCAGGTCTGCTCACCTCTTCATCCTCTCCTCCAGTCTCCTCTCCATCTACCACATCAGGAGGTCCCGCCACCAACGCCAACTCCAGCCCCATGAAGGACTCATCGTGTCCCACGGCAGCCCAGCCTCGACCTGTTCGCCGCGCTCCCCAGGGCCCCCAGGCACTGATGCCCCTGCCCTGCAAGAAGGCAGAGGGGCTGCAGTACAACAACTTCAAATGTCCCGAGTGCCAAACACAGTTCTCTGGCAAGACTGAGCTGGTAACTCACTTCCAGCAGGTCCGAGGGGCTCCTAACTCGGTAAATCTTGCAGAGGTGACAAGTAATCAGTGTTAGAAATAGATGATTTGCTCAAATTTCTCCTTCTTCCCTGCAGACGTGTACTCAGTGCTCTCCTCCCATGATGCTCCCTAACCCGTGTGCCGTGTCCGCCCACCAGAGGATCCACAAACACAAATCGCCACACGTGTGCCCCGAGTGTGGGGGAACCGCACGACAGGCCAGCTTCCAGACGCACCTGGAGGAGGCGTGTCTGCACTTCGCCAGGCGCATCGGCTACAGGTGAGATGCAACAATACTCACATCACTGCTAATTTTAACTATGATTCACTAGCAGTGTTGGGAGTAACGCGGTACAAAAGTAATTAATTACTGTAATGTATTGCTTTTTGCTGTAATGTGGTAATGTAAGGCATTACAGGGAAAGAAAATGGTAATATTTACTCGGTACAATTGTCAGTAACGCGGTAATTACAACACATTTTTAAACCCAGAATCAAGATGTGGGTTTCCTAAAAATTCAAATTGCGGGAAGCCTAAAAAAAGATCCAATATCCACATATATGACGTCATTTATGGACTCAGCTTTGCGGGCATTCTATGAGCAGAGAGGACGCAGCGGTAATGGCTCAAATACTCCAGCTGCGTCCGGCGCGCGGCCGCTGTTATATTCACTAGATCGCTCCACCAAAACAAAGTCATTCGTTTGCGATTGTTTATATCCGCCCATATTCTCTGGTACTTCATGTACTTTTCAGCTGAGTTCATAATCTGTGCCCCAGTGATTTCAACTCATTGCTGCTGGAGCGCAGCGCATATTAAGCTGTTTTTTATTTATTTTTATTTTTTTTTTTGCGTTCTGTAGATCCCTTTGGCTGATTAGTTAGAAAGTAGGAAATCTAGGAAACAGTTTTCTGGAAGACGGAGAAAACATGCAGCATGCAGGAAGGTTAGAGAGAGAAAGGGCCGGAAATTATTCAAATAAAATCAAGAAAACAAAACAAAGTGCTTGAAAAGAAAAAAGTAGGTAGATTTATCCCCAATACCCATTTTTACCAGTGAAAAGCAATAATCTATAAGCATTTAATATTTATACATGTGATAGAATCAGATCACCCCAGAAGTCAGTCCCACATCCAGGGCCTTATCAAGGCATTTGGGGACCAAGGCAAATATAGGCTTGGAGCCCCCACCACCTCACTTCCTGCTCAGTTAATCTAAGATGGCAGCGTGCTGAGAGTACAGATTGTTGCTTTTATTTAATAAACAATCATTTTAAAGCACTGTTATTATATCTGACTGTTTTTAACAGCAACCCTAGCTCAGACACCACATCACCTTCCACATATATGTCATGAGCTCGCTGAGCGTCAGATTACCAGATTCATATTGAAGTTGTTTTGGTGAAAGTAACTTAAAGTAATGCAAAAGTAGTGTAATGCCTTACATTTTAAAATCAGTAATATTGTAATGTAATGAATTACTTTAAAATGAGGGTAACAAGTAATAAATAATGCATTACAGTTTTGAAGTAACTTGCCCAACACTGTTCACTAGTGAATTTAAACGTCGTGCTTTGATTCGTTAAGGTGCTCCAGCTGCCAGGTCGTGTTCGGAGGCTTGAACTCCATCAAGTCCCACATTCAGACGGCTCATTGCGAGGTCTTCCACAAGTGTCCCAGCTGTCCCATGGCCTTCAAGTCTTCCCCCAGCGCCCAGAGTCACATCAGCACCCAGCACCCGACGCTAACCGGAGGACAGGCCAAGTACGATGGTCTCCATTTGAGCAAAAGCTCCGGTCGTTAAAAACGTCGCTCATTTTCCAAACGTGTTCTCTAATTTCTCAGGATGATCTACAAGTGTGTGATGTGTGACACGGTTTTCACCCAGAAGCCCTTGCTGTACATGCACTTTGACACGCACTTAGCCAAGCAGAAAGTGCACGTGTTCAAGTGTCCTGACTGCACTAAGCTGTATGCTCAGAAGGGCTCCATGATGGAGCACATTAAGGTACGCTTTGGACAAGAATGTCTTCACGTTACAGATTTAAGGAGTTGTTGCCCGTTTGTTGCTTTCTACAACGCACGTGGTGTCAGAACAGGCAAACATCGGCCTCAGCGAGGTTCCTCCTCAGTGGCCTTGTCCTAAGTTCTATACCAAGAACGTCCTTTGGAAAGCTCATATGTCCTTAAATAGAGGTGATTTTATGTTTTCCTGAATCCTGTCCCTGTTATTCCACTCAGACTGCTCACAGAGGCCCCTCGGCCAAACAGGAGTCCCAACCTGACACCTCAAACCCCCCTTCAGTCCCGACCAACACGTCCGGTCCCGCCAGCTCCAAGTCCAAATCCTCCGGAAAGCCCGACACCTCCGACGGCGAGGACTGGGGGCGGGAGCAGGAGGAGGAAGAAGAGGAGGAGGACGATGAGGAGGACGACGAAGGGGACGAGGACTACGAGGCCCCTGGGGGTCACCCTGCTGCTGCCGCCAACCCCGCTGCTGCAAGCGTCGCGACTGAGTGGACTTGTCCTCAGTGTCAGAACACCTTCACGGATAACGAAGACTATCAAAGCCACGTGAAAATGGAGCACAGCAAGGTAGGAGATAACCTTTGACCGAGTCGCTGAAATATTTTAACTGATTTATTTTTTCTCTAAAGTTCCCGTGCCGTATCTGCGGAGGAACATTCAGCACCTCCTCGAGCTTGAGACGTCATGAACGTGTGATTCACGAGGGCAACAAGAGAGTCTTCCACTGCCAGTGAGTCGCTACTTAGACGTAGATTACATTGTCTATAGATGCCCCTCTAGAAAAGCAAGAGATTGTGCTATTACGTAGACATTTTCTAGGCTGAGACAAATATTAATTCATTGCAAAAAATGTGAGCATTGACCAATTAAAGCTTATTTTCACTCATTTACATATTGTGGCCAGTAGAGGGCGCTAACCCATTGATTTCTACTGTTTTACTCAGTTTTAAGATATTCTTAAACATGTCTGGTTTTAGATTTTGCACAGAAGGCAAGCGTACGTTCGGCAGCCGGTTCCTGCTGGACAAACATATCCGGCTCCATCACAGAAACCCAGAAGGACAAGTGAGTCCGTTTTATCCTTTTCTTGTTTCTATTCCATCGTTCTGGGTAGCGTCTGGATTCAGTGTTGGTTTAAACAGGATGAATTCAAGGAGTGGAACGCCCCTTTAATCAACACATTTGCAGTGGGTCTCTAGTAGGAATGAAGGATTTGTAAGTCGTACTCTGGGGTAAAAAAGATCAGATGCACCGTTTTCAGCACAGAGTTTTCAGCTGGAGGAGAAAGTAGCTTCAGACTTGTTTACAGTAGGGTTGTCACGGTAACCAGTGTAGCGGTAAACCCTGGTAAAAAAGTTGACAAAAATAATAACCGTCTTGTTTTTAAAAATATATATTATCTCAGTGGATTACCGTGGCTGCGGTGTAGGCGCGGTGACCCTTACCAGCCACCGCATCATCTGCCTCGCCCTGAAATCGGAAGGTTGCAGGTTTGAGCCCCGCTCAGTCTGTCGCTGTCGTCGTGTCCTTTGGCAAGACACTTAACCCACCTTGCCTGCTGGTGGTGGTCGGAGGGACCGGTGGCACCAGTGCTTGGCAGCCTCGCCTCTGTCAGTGCACCCCAGGGCAGCTGTGGCTACATCGTAGCTCATCCCCACCAGCGTGTGAATGTGTGTGTGAATGGGTGAATGACTGATTGTGTTGTAAAGCGCCTTGGGGGGTTCCAGGACTCTAGAAGGCGCTATATCAAATACAGGCCATTACCGGCAGCACATGCGCACTTTGTTGTTTACAACCCAAACTTTCTTGAAGCTAAAGCTGAAATAATGGCCAAAGGAGGAGACGGCAGCGCTCAGGAGGACATTTATTATCCCTCAAAGAAGACAAAGTGGGAAGTACGGGCATCTTTTGGATATCTGAAGAATGCCGAGGGACAGTTGATAGAAGACGGCTATCCTGTTTGCAGCACGTGCAGAAAAAGTGTCTGTGAAAGGCAGCAACGCTTCAAATCTCATGACACATCTGCGTGACCATCACCCACAACTCTACAGTCAACGCAAGGCAAGCTAACGTTAGCGTTTTAGCTAAAATGCGTGATCCGAGGATTTGGGTTGAGGGAGAATGCAACGAGTCGCTATATAAAGCAGCCGCAGCGCCGCTACCTGCATATAAACCGTGTCACGGACACCGCCATGGTGAAATGACGCTATGCATTACGGGGCTCCCAGGGGCAGATAAGAATTGGTCTCTCTCCGAGAATAATTATGAATTTAACAATGATTACTGCCTGATGACATTTTCCCAAATCTGCAAAGCTCACTGGAAGGACACAAACCGAGGACGATATTTTACTGATATAGGGTTTATTACTCAAGTAAGGGTAAAAAAGTATCTGATTAGAAGGCTACTTGAGTACTGAGTATCATCTGATCTAATATTTTTAAAATGATAACATCAAACAGACAAAAAATAAGAAGTTATGGGCAAATATTGGTATTTTAAAGACTAAAGGGGAAAAATGTAAACAAATAAACAACATAATTACAAAATAACACATTTTAGGCAAAATTTAGACACAAACTGAGGACAATATTTCCTGACGTACAGGGTTTATTTAATTGTGTGAAAATGTAGCACGTTTAAAAAAATACCGCGATTATACCAAAAACCGTGATATTTTTGGTCTCAATAACCGTGAGGTTAAATTTTCACACCTCCTTACTTCCTGGTTACAGAGAAGACTCTTGTTTTTATACATGGGCTGCAGTACCCAGATCTGACCACAAGGTGCCATTCTTACTTAATGCACCTCTAGATAACAAAGACTACTAGAACTGAAACTCAGCTGTTAAGTCTCACTTTGTTTACCCCTCAGGGACCGCCCCTGACCAGGAAGCGAGCCGCTACAGGAGAAGGACCGGGCAGCTCCTCGGAACAGGATGGAGAGGTGGGTCCTCCTGTAGGTAGAGGAGCAGAGGAGGAGGAAAACACCACAGAAGAAGGCAGCGGTCCCGCAAAGAGAACCAGGGCGTCCATTGCATCCACGTCATCGACACCCGGTGAGCTAGAAGAGGAAGACAATATATTTCGGTGCGTCCCCTGCGGCTTCTCCACAGAGGACGAGGCGGAGTTTCAGCGCCACATCCCGCAGCACCGGGGTGACATCGCTTCCTTCCAGTGCCTGCAGTGTGGCGTCTGCTTTGCCTCGGCTGGCTCTCTCAGCAGGCATCGCTTCATCACTCACCGAGTGCGGGACACGCAGGGTGACGGTGAGCGCGGCGCCCCACGCGCTCCCGGCTCTCCTGGCGCCTCCCCTAGCGCCTCCCCCCAGTCTCAGACCGAGGACGGAGATGGAAACCTGAGCTGCAGGGTGTGCGGCCGGCACTTCGACAAGGCCTCTGACCTCAACACGCACTTCAGGACCCACGGTATGGCCTTCCTCACCGCACATAAAACAGACAAGCCCCAGTAGGGGAGGGGCGCAGGACGGGCCACCTGGGACTGATGAGTAGAACATGAATGTTGAAGAACCACAGGTTTTTTTTCTTAACTCAAAATGGCGCCTCTGTGGTGCGATTGTAACTGCATGTTTGCTCAGAAACAAGAAGCATTTATATATATCATCCACTCCTGCACTATAGCCACACACACACACCTCCCACTGCACTCCAGCCAGCTGTCACTCCCTACTTCATGTCGCATTCGTGCTGCCCCGCCGCTTCTAGAGAGCGACAATCTGCTCAATCGGAGAGAGCTGAAGCTTTTTGGGAGAAACTGACACTGATTTTTATGTTGCAATATTTATTTATATAAAAACACGTCACTGCTGTTGGTATTTTTGTCTTGATGCCGAAACGAGAAGGTCACAGGAAGTCTGTAGTATGTGTCGTGTGAATAAATTGTGATGTTAATCTTTAAGCTAGGCGGAGAATCGGGCTGTTGGTAGAACAAGTGGATGACCTTTGACATGTAAATACATATAATTACACTAAGAAAGCGTACTGGTTTTAGTAACTTGCTATGACAATGTGAATATGTGTAGTATTTGTATTGCTCAACCCTTTTTTCCACCCTAAAAATAACTGGTTTTAAAAAAGAAAAGCTGCCCCCCCCCCCAAAGAATTAGCGACATGTTATAATTACAAAAAAAAAAAAAAAGAACAATGGGGGGTTGTGTCATTAATGTGTATGAAAACAAAAACGTTTATCGGAGACGGTTGTTTTTTTAACTACTCGCGTTTCTTTTGTATGTCCCAGCCTCCAGCGCCTCACGGTGGGGGGGCGGCTTTGATTTCTCGTTTGTATCTTTTTTATATGTCATATCATATTTATAGAGCTCAGTAGTGGAAGTTTCACGTCATCTTCTCCATGGTTGTGGTCTGCTTGCTGAAATGCCATAAACCTCTGTGCTGTTTGGAAATAAATGTGTAAAAGATGCCGCGGCTTCACTGTTTATGTTTAACTAACCTTATCGGATCTTTACCCACTTATATGAAAACTTTACAACCACTTTTAAATAACTGGAGCGATAACATTTCCTAGGAACCAACATTGATTTTTCTAGTCTTGATTTATCCTAATATTTAATTTTATCTTGATCATTTTACATTTAAAGTGCAACACTTGACAGTTTTCACCTAATTTAGCCATTTAAAGCAGGTTTTCCACTCTCTGGTTCCTCCACCTCTAGAGTGATTTTCCCTGCTGAATCTTCTAGACACAAATTCTGGTCATCAGACATTTGTGAAGGGTGATGGACTTCAACCAGCAGCTCATAAACCAGCGTTCCTAGCAGCGCTCCGATGCAGGGAGCAACGATTGGCACCCACCACCAGCCACTTCCGGCCCTGTTTGCATTCAAAATGACAAATCGCAACAAAAATATTACGGAAACAAAGGGGTCCAAAATAAAAATGCCAACCTGAAGACATCTTCTCCCCATACCGCAATGTAAGTGAAGACTCGAGGTCCAAAATCCCTGGCCGGGTTCAGGGCGTAGCCGCTGTTAGAACCCATAGAGACACCGATAACCAGCACCGACGCTCCAGCCAGGAGGGGTTGGAAGTGATCAGGGATGAACGTGTTACTCTGGTCTCCCAGAGCAAGGATGCACAGCAGCAGGGCGGCCGTGCCGATCACCTGATTAGCACGGTTAATGAAAATGACCAGAAAAATGAAGGATGATGTTACAATGAACATGAGAATCTAGTGTAATCATGATCTAAAGGAGATGCGCTATGACTTTTTAAGCTCTATAAGTTCTATGGTTGATACAAACCCCATGTAGTAAGTTCTTTACACATAATCCCGCCCACATAAAGCAGTTTCAGCAGTTTTATTCTTTACAGTTTCAGTGCCTTCCAAAATTAGCCCTTTTAGGACTCTGTCACTTTAAGAACAAAAGGCTGGAGCTGGCCACGCCCACTAATGCCAGATTTGCCTCTATTAGCAGAGAAGCTCTGATATCCGAGAGGGGCTTGGAGAAGAGCTGCTGCTCCCCCAGCCACGTGAGGCAAGAGTGGGTTTCATGAAATTTTCCATGTTTGTGACATCACAAACGGGGACTTTTTGAAACTGCTCATTTTAAGCACATATTACCTAACAGAAAACAGATGGACCATTTTTTTCATATTTAGAGTATTTAAAGAGACAATGTGTAGTTTTTACTGTTAATCTTTGGAAATATCCATCGATAAATGATATCCAGTTATTGAAAATATTGGCGGCTTCGTAACATATAACCATAAAAATTGCGTCTAAAGTACATAAGCGTCATTGGGGGACACCACGTTTCCTCTGGCCTGCTCGAGGTTGAGCACAAATGGGTTCATAATATGTCTTCTTTAAAGAAAAACACAATGGATTAAGAAAAAGGTAGACTTTAACTGACCTGGTCAACGACTCCTCCCCATACGCTGAGATAGTCAGCTGGGTAGGTGGAGAAAATACCTGCTGTGGAGGTGGGACCCGTCACCGTCAGCTGACCACCACTGTACATCTGGATAGCATCTGCAAACAGCCTTAATTAGTGTGTGTGCACCTCTGAAATCCCAACCTATAATCAGGACTTGGAAGAAACATCAGTCAGTTGCCTTTATATATAATGTCATGTTCTGGATGATGAATGAGAACACCAACATCTTCAAATATTTCATTGTTATGAAATAAATATTTAAAGTACATGCATTAAAAGACGTTTCTTTCTGCTTTGACAGGAAAACTTTGCTTTTAAAGTGGTTTAAACTCACCGTAATACTGCAGAGCAACTGTAGCTGCAGCTAGAAAGGCTCCCAGAACCTGGAAAAAGGCGTAGAATGGTAGTTTTATCCATCGACATCTACCCAGAGAGCACAAGCTCAACGTGACTGCTGGGTTCAGATGAGCACCTTCAAAATAAATGTATGAATTAATTAAATGAACCATAATACCAAATGTGTCAAAGATGTCTACCGGCAGGAACTCCTGCAAACAAGTTCTCCTGTGTTTTTTTTTTTGTTTGTTTTTTTTGTTTGTTTTTTGCTGGCCCTTTTCACATTTTTAAATGCTGGAATTTTGTATCTTATGCAGGCTGTGGAAAGGCAATTTTATCATAGGATTTTTACTATTATATCTATTCTAGGTCCATTTTTGCAGTTTTGAAATTAATTTTAAATAAATGGTCATAATAAAATCCAGTGGTGGGCGCCGCTCTCCCTGACATACATGAAGGGAGAATAAATGTAATTAAAGCTGCAAGCAACGTCGTTCGGCCCTCGCAGCTCAGCGCCGCTCCGGCCTGGCCGGTGTCGGTGCAGGATCTGCTCGGGTGCAGGATCGGCTCGGGGTCCTTTAACTGCCGATGACGTCAAAGTAGTTGATTGGCTGAACATGAAGCTTAAGGACGTTACGTTATCACGTTATGATTTTGATTGGTCAGAACAAATTTGCGGCCGTAGTCTTAGCGGTTGTAGTCCTGTAGTCCATAAATCAACACTTTTTGGAGAAAATATGTTTGAATTTCTAACGGAAATGTAAAATATAAGCAAATGATAAACGGTGACCCTCAAAAGCTCTTGATGTTGATGAAATGGGGCAAAATAAAATATAAGAACTTTATTGAAAGACACCATGCAATATTTTGAGTCAAAGAATGTATTTAGATAATAACTAAGGAAATATACAGATGAACTCCACATTAATACAAACAGATGTGGCTTCACATCAGAACTGTTTTATTTTTTGTCAGTCCGATGTTGGTTTTATGTAGTTTCACATTCTTTAGATAACATAGTGTTTTATTAACAAATTACAATTATAAAGAAAACATTTAGGTGTTAACAAACAAGAATTTATTAACAAAACTGCTGATGTCTTTCAAAAACGTGTGTGTGAAAGCCGAGTAGATTTGCAGCAATGTGACGTCATCGGCAGTCGAAGGACCCCGAGCCAATCCTGCACCCGAGCAGATCCTGTACCGACACCGGCATGTGAATTCATGGATTTTTTTTTCACATTCTGTCTCTCACAGTTGAAGTGTACCTATGATGAAAATTACTGACCTCTGTCATCATTTTAAGTGGGAGAACTTGCACAATCGGTGGCTGACTAAATACTTTTTTGCCCCACTGTATATAGCAGAAGTTTGAAGGCGATCGTTGAAAAGGGCGATGGGGCATCACTCTCCAAACGATGTGTGCGAAAACCACTAAATCGAGTACTTGGACCAAAATGGCCGACTTCCTGTGCAACATTAAGCTTAGCTCCAAGAAACTTTTTGGTAGGTCCTGAGACACCACATTAGTGTACCAATTTTTGTAATCTTCAGTCAAAGCATCGCTTGGGGCTGAGCGTTTTAATGGTCCTAGAGGGCACTATTTCAGAAAATAGGAGACAGCCACCAACCTATACCATTCATTTCTATTGGGGATCAGACTAGGATCACTCACTAGAAATTTTGTGGCAATATCATGATAACTTAGGAAATGAGAGGCAAACATATTTACATGGCATGATGGAGAATTTCACCATGCTCCCAAAGCCCCACCTTTTTTTGAAACCTGCCAGTACTGGAGACCATGTGACCTCAACTTGTCTACTGCTATTTGCCAGAGATTGCTGGTGATTGGGTGAAAGGAGTCCTATAGGGAGCTGTGAAAAAGAGTGGCATGGAGACAGGTCAAAGTTTGAGGCTTAGCCACGCCCACACCTTTCAACTTTTGAAAAATCCGATGGTTGAATTTTCCCCCTATATCTTAAGAGTATATAGCAGAAGTTTGAAGGTGATCGTTGAAAAGGGCGACGGGGCATCATTCTCCAAACAACGTGTGTGAAAACCACAGAATCGAGTACTTGGACCAAAATGACCGACCTCCTGTGCAATTTTGCGCTTGGCTCCAAGAGACTTTTTTGTAGGTCCTGAAACACTACATTAGTGTACCAAATTTCATAATCCTCAGTCAAAGCATGGCTGGGGGCTGGCAGTTTTAATGGTTCTAGGGGTTGTATTTGAGAAAATAGGCCACACCCACCGGATTTTCACATCAGATTTTTTGGGGCCGGACTAGGATCACTCACCAGAAGTTTCGTGGTGATACCTTTAGAAATGACAAAATGGGAGGCAAACGTATGACCACGGCAGTACGCCTGATTTCGCTGCGCTGCCACAGCCCCGCCCTCTTTTGAAAACTCCCATAAAGTGACACCAAGCAACCCCCAATTGTTTTGAGTTACCAGCTACAAATTTGTTTTGATTAAGTGAAATGGGGCTATTTGGGACCAATCACAGTAAAACTTGACCTTTTTGGTCCTGAGGGGGCGAGGCTTGTGTGATGTCATCATCCAACCATTCAGTTTAGTTTGTGGCTGATGTCGAATGACCACAGAAAGTTTTGTAGCTCTACTCTATTGGAGTATGAAGTTTTAGCCTTTTATATTTTTTTGGCAAGTACAGTAGTCGAACTTCGAGGCCTGGCCACGCCCCCTCAGTATAAACGAAAAGTCAGTTTTATTTTTCTATTTGATCGCCCATCCCTTCTGAGCAATTTCCCACAAATTTCGAGATGATCGTGTGAAAAATGATCGAGTAAATCAATCAGAAGCGGACCCTAGTAACGGCCAAAACGGGGTCAAAATCTCCACTTCAAACCAAAATGGCCGACTTCCTGATTGATGTTGACCATGGTTGCAAGAGGCTTTTCTGTGCGGACTGTCGAGTACTACAAGTGTACAAAATTTCATAACTGTACGACAAACAAAGTATTATGGAAGGGGGTATTTTTCACATTGTAGGGGACGCTATGGAGCTAGTTTTATGGGACTTTTAAAATACAAAATTTTACGCCACGCCTGACATGTGTGCAAAAAATCCTGAGTTTTCGGGTATGTTGAGGCCTCCAAAAAGCCAATTTACTTGGCAGAAGAAATATAAACAGAGCGGATACAATAGGCCTTTGCAGCGCTATCGCTGCTCGGGCCTAAAAAGTAAAAACAAAAATCTATATTTAATATAAATGTGTCAGTTTTGCTGACACATGCAATCAGAATTATTCACTCATAATTTTCACCAGCTGTCTCTAGTGAATTTTCTTCAACAGACTCACCGGAGCACTTGAAAAAGCGCTGACACTAATCAGCCAATCACATTTGGTTGCTAGGAAGAGCTGGAGAATGTTTGGCCAATTAGCATCACTGAATTTAACACCGCTGAGGCCCTCCTGCTACAGGACTTAGCTAGCTAGGATGCTACAGAGCGCAGTGGCGGTTTTACCATTAGGCATAGGTCGGTGGCCGCCTGGGGCCGCCTTATGTTGGAAGGGCTCCCTAGCCCTAACTGCTGGCACCCCTCTGTTAATGCCACAATGGACTATTCCTTTAAGAAGCCGATGCACAAACAGGAAGTGATTGGTAGTTATTCCACTCCAATCCAGTTGGTGGCAGTAATGCACCAAATTGTTGTTTGCCAAGTGTCATAAGACCACAAATAAGAAGAAGAGAGGCGGCAGCGTTTGTAACAAACTTGAAGCGGTAGTCAAAACTTTAAGCATGAAATGGAGTTATGCTAGTGGCTCCAATAAGAGACAGAAGCAGCATGCTTTAAAAAAGATTTTATCTTCACTTCCGAAAGTGACGTCGTTTTTCTACGTAAACATCAAAATGAAGACAATGGAAAATGTTTAAAGGGAGGAAAACACAGACCAAAATGGAAAACAGAAAAAAAAAAACAAAAGCTAAATCACAGGAGCACTGACAGGAAGAAGATAGCAGAGCAAATATTGAAAGCACTAAATGGGAGAGAAAGACAGGAAAAAATAGGACTAAAAGTGAAAATAACTCATGTCAGAAGAGGGTAGAGTTTCGCAAATCCAGTTAAAGATAAGATTGTTGAAAATTTAGTGTAAGGGGGCCCCATGTCTGTGTTCGCCTTGGGCCCTCAAATTACTAAATCTGCCACTGACAGAGCGCTGGATCGCCTTTGCTCTCTCCCACACACTCACTGTTGATTTATATATTTATATATAATCTTCATATTTGTAGCTGTTGCAATAAAATGTATTTATTTGTTCAAATGTTATATGAATATAATATTTAAAACTGGCTTTCTCATTCAATTTCGATGTCGTGTTAGTGCCACACTGCCACCTACTGGTGTAGCTGAGTATAGCGCTTTGAGGAGACTCGAGCTGGAATCTCACCTGAGACTCCGCGGGACACAAAGACCCCAAACGTCACCCCCAAAGCAAATCCCAGGTTGATGGAAAGATACTGTCCATTCCTCTCCTGAGACGTGATCACCTGGGCTGCAGAGCCACATCCAAACAGCTGCAGACACATAAAAAAAACAAAAAACATTTCACTAATGTTGAGATTACGAAACTACAGGATGTTATGACTCTTCTTTTTTATGAACTTCATTTCTGATTAACCCGCTTTATGGTCTGTGCTGTTAAATGGTTGTTGCTCTAGCAGGTGATCATTAGGGTCTTTTAAAATCAGGCCAAAGTTCTGCAGTTAGCTACAACTTTTATTAACTGACCCAAAACAAAAGCACACGGTTTTTAATGAATCCTGGTGAACTTTGTTAGAACCAGAACTTACAATCAGGACGTAGACCCCGAGACACTCCGCCATGCACTCCCTGACCAGCATGTTTTTGATCCGACACTTCCTCAGCAGCTTCTCCATCCTGGTTTTCCCCTCTGCAGCGTTTGGTCTCAGATGAGTTCTCTCAGGTGGGTTCTGACCTGCTCCGTTCCGCTCCGCAGCTTATCCGTCTCAGAGCAGAGTTTGATCTTTCAGGCCTGGAGTCTCTGGCAACGTCACGGTTTATTGCAAGGCTGAGGACTTTTACTCTGCGGGACATCCTGAGCCACAAATGATCAGCTGAGTGGAATTAACTCTGATTGGGGGGTGTTAACATGGATTTCTTCTTCTCTGACTGGAAATGGACATAAAAGTTCTTAAATCTAAATTAAAATAGTTTCATTCACTCCAGATCTTTATATAATACATGGATTTATCCCTGCAGGGAATTCAGACTCCCAGATCAGAGTGGATGCTTTTGGGATGGAGTGTGAAAAAAGAAAAAAAGACACACCACATGCCAGAGGAACTACAAGAACAAGGCAGCTGTGTAAATATATTAAATCTTTATTGGATCCCTCTCATAACTACATCCATATTAGCTTTTCTGTGAGACGGTACAAAAATAAAATATTCAACCAAACTGATTAGTAAAGTTTCCATTTCAGCATTTTATCCATCACATTAAACGAGTCCGGGGAACATTTTATTTAAATCCACCAAAGAACTTGGAGAATAACGAGTTGTCATCCCGTAAGTCTGAGAAGGGCTGTGGGCCACCTGGGACAAACACAAACACAGGGATTAGGAACAGGGAGACAATGTTTAGATTTAAATCCCAGACTAGAAATAAACTGACCTGGAGGAACGAGTCCAATCTGAGGGTCAGGACCTCCTGAGCGAGTCACTGTGGTCTTCTCCTGGCCGTGTCCGTCTCGGATTGTCCGCCTCTCCTCTACGGTCTAATAAAAACATTTAGTGAGTTTAATTAATTCAACTTTAACCTTAAAAATATTGTGGATTTGCACTCTTGTTCATTATTTGATATTTATTGTAAGAGAATTTTACTCTTAATTTATCATTTATCTATAAAAACACTTCAATGTTGCAGGTAAAGACCGCCGAAGCACACGCACCCCATCAGGTTTCACCACCTTGGTGACGGTGACCGACTGGAAGAACGACCGGGTTATGGGCTGGCTCGGCGTCTGACCGGCAGGTGGAGTCAGAATCTGATCCAGGCCAGCAGATGACACAGCAGAGTCCAGATCTGGATGGGATTCAAAAGAAAATCAACAAGGAAACGTAAATCCATAAATAATATAACAACTTAAAACTGTAACTCACCTCTGTCTTCTTTGATGTCATCTTCTGGAGTTTTCGGAAGTCCCTGTCTCCAAATATCATTAAACTGTTAAGAGACACACACACGCGAATTGGATCAGAACAAGGTTCAAGCAGGAAAAACAAAGAGGATTAATCAGTTTTGTGTACTTTGGAGAAAGGTCTAAAGCCATGGAAAGGTGAGCGAGGGAATTCTGGAGGCTCATAGGAGGGCTGATTGCCACCAGGGCCCTCTCGGGTTGGCCCTTGTGAGTCACTGCCAGGTGATTTCAGCATAAAGTCTCTCACAGGATTCCCACTTCCCCCACCTCTCTGTGATCTGTCCTGAGGTGGTGATGGAGGCAGGATTCTGGGAACAACTAAAAATAAAAGAAAAAGAAAGAAAACTTGATTAAAAATAGTACTTTTTGTGCAACTCAATATAAAAATTATCAATGGGAGTGGGGGTGGGTCACGCGCTAACTTTCTTACCCATATGCCCAGACGTGTCCTCTTCCCAGTGGCCCAGCTGGGAGAAGATCTCCTCCATTTCTCTGAGCACGTGTCCGAACACCGGAGGCTCCTGGAACCTCATCCCGTCCGGACCAAAGCTGAAGCCGAACCTCCAGGCTCCGCCAAAAGGGTCCTGCTGGTCCCCCCTCAACCCATCGTCCCAGACCCCATCCTCGTCCTCTTCGTCCTCGTCGTCATCACGAGTCATGGCATCAAAAAATGGGTCCCTGATAAAACAAATGAATTGTCTTAAATTAATCCTGACGGACGCAATCGTATTAGTCCGTTTGAGCTCAGCTTAACGGCCATGCTAGCTGAGCGACCCCTGTGGTTTTCCTGGAAGGAAAAAGCTGTCTTACCTCACGACGGAGCTACTTCGTTACCTAACAGCACACAGAAATATATATTTTGCTACGTTACTAACTTTGACTCACCTTCGGCCTCCATAATGTCTTCCCGGAACACCGAAGAACCCGCGAAACAAATCAAAAACACTCATTTACTGACAGAAAGCTAATTCATAACATCCACGGTTCACAGGTGCTGCGAAAAACAGCCAGTAATGTCAACAGTCGCAAAGCGTTCTGGATCCTTCCAAATGACGCAACCTGCCGCAAAACTGCCGTAAAGTTGCTTTACCGTAAATCATAAAATCAAAGCCCAGAAAGAGTACGTTGGCTCACTAATCACCTCATACCATTTGTATTTGGGATGAACGAGAACTAATCTTTTTAATCGTTCTAGTACAGACTAAAATATTGCAATTAAATGTATGAAAGAAAACAAATCTTTTAGATAAACTAAATCGAACGGCTTTATTACACTAATTACGGTAACGTTGATATTTTCTACCACTTTTGTCCATCTAGCTCTTTTTTGACAAAAATTGCATTGTAAAAAGTTTAAATGTAAATCATTTCAGTTCCCTTTAAAATTCTGTTTTATTTATTTTGGTGTAGTATACATGTAGTAAAACAAAAACAACTGAACTAATGTTAACTGACAACTAGACGGCCGTAGTTATCCTGAAAAGAGGGAACACAAAATAACACATCAAAATTATATGGGTTTATCTGTTGGCATCCTGTAAATAAACTAATATATAAACCACAACTCCACAAAAATCACCCAACAGCATTTAAATAAAGCTAATCTGTGCTAAACGAAGAAATGCTGCTACATCCACAAGCCACAAGAAATTGTTTATTAAAAGACATTAACATCCAAAATGATGAAAACGTCTTTGTTTATTTACTTAATATTTATATATTTTTACAAAATAAAAAAATGAAACAAAAAAGCTAACAAGTCTGCAAGAATTTGAAAAGGAAAAAAAGAAGAAAGCCATTGACGGACAGGGACTACAGTACTTGTGTTTTTATATATGTACAAGACAATTTTATCCATTTAAATCTTTTAAAACGCACAGTACAAAAAGGAAAATAATAAACCACTGACAAAAAGAGTACAATTCTGTCCATCAGTGTTCAACGCTGCAGGTTTCTTTACAATGTTGGGGGTCAAGGAGGTGAAGCGGGGGGGGGGGGGGGGGGGGGGGGGCGCAGATTGTGTCTGTGACCCTTTAAATCATTCTTTCAAAATAAGACCAGCCATAAGCAAAGTTGTTTCTGATTCAGGGGGACAGTAACTGTACAACTGTTGGATAACAAAAACCCCGAAAAAAACATGCACGCAGTCACATGACCAACACACTCCTCACAGTCTGAGCCACTGAGCTTTGTTTAATATGTCTTTATATATAATATATCTATATCTGGTAAAAAATAAACTTCACAACTCTTCCAATTCAGAGAAACGTTTCTTCAAACTTAAAACGACAAAAAAAGTTGAGAAAAAAAAACATTTGAAAGTAAATATGTCAGGGGTCTTTTATGTCGGACGTTTCCGTCGACATTTAAGAGACGAGAGGATGAGAAGTACACAACCAGACCCCCCCCCTCCCATGTTTGGGTACTACTTCATTCCTTCCCTTTGGCCAGAAAAATAAAATAAAAGGAAAATAAAAGAAAAATACAAGAAATGTTCATTCTTTTAGAAAACAGTTCTATGTTACATGTTAAAGATCAAGAATGGTGCAGCGGGGAGTGGGGGGTGGTTATGACGATATAATTTCCCAACACTCAGAATGTCTCCTCTGGATTTTTCTAACCATTTGGATCTCATTTCCAAGCCCCTCCCATCCTGAGTGAACGGCGCTCTCGCTCTGCCCAGCACCTCCTCTCTGGGCTGTGGGAGTGCTGGGCCAAGAGGCTGGAGAGGGAGGAGGCGGCTTGTTTGCAGGAGGAGTGATGAGCCCTCTCCGCCTCTCAGCTCATGGAAACTGAGGGAAGAGGACGGGTCAGGTGATGTTAGTTGGCCCCCCAGTTGTAACTGTTGTATGTCGCCTTGTTGATCTGGGATTTCTGCTGAATGGAGGCGTTTTGGCTGCGTTGTCCTGTTCCGCTCTGAGGAAACACAAACCATCAGTTAGCTCCGCATCAGCATGTTGCTTTCCTACTTCGTTTAAGAGGTGCTTCAGTATTTTGGCCGCGGCAGGCTCCCGTATCTTAATCCACTACCTGTCCGTCCTGCTGCAGGTGGTGGTGTAGAATCTGGGAGTGGGGTTGTTGGTGCGGAGCCAGAATGTGCATGAAGGGGGCCGGAGCGTACCCCGCAGCAGCCGGGGCGTTGATGGGTCCCCCGCTCCCCAGCGCCGATGGGAGGCTAAACGAAGCTGCTGGCGTCCCGGCGTGGAAACCCTGCTTCTCAAACGACTGAAACAAACACAGAAGAAATAAAGTCACATCTTCCCTAATAAGAATCTGCAATCCAACCAAAGCAAAACGCATTCGTGTTGTTACCTGTGTCTTTGTGTAAACAGACCCTGAAATATCCGGTACTCCTGTGTTGCTCGAAGTCACAGAAACTCCTGCAGAGACGAGAGAAAGTTACGTCGAAATCTACCCATTAAGAGCCAAACTAACCATGAGAATCAAACCACTGAATGCTGGGAGACGTCCAGCAGTAAATATCTACGTCCACGCTTAACTCATTCACTCATTTTTTTACTGTTTGGGCATCGTAATGAGCCCCTGCGCGGAGAGAACAAACATCTCAGCTCTGAAGCCGATCTTCATCCGCGTACGTCACGTGATCAGGAAGCAGAACATCCATGTGGTTAGATCATTTTGGGCCGTTCCTGTAAAAAAAAAGTGAGGCGCAAACCGGAAAAGCGTCTGCCGATCACAATTCAACAACGGATTACGAAAGAACGGATAACGCTCGAAACGCACGGATTCTTCCTGATGTAAGAGGTGAGTCTCCGCTTTGTTTCGGTTGTTTTGGCGTCGACACCCTAGCGCGCAACGTTCTGTGACTCTTAAAAAAACTGTAAAAATGGCGAGAAACTGGCAGCGAATGAGTTCAACAGAACCGCCCTTTAACGAAGACAGCAGAGACACTGAGGAGATGGAAGATAGGATACAGAGGCAGAGGGATGAATCGGTGTGGAGCTTTGTTCCAGTTAACACCAGCTCCTTGTGTGAGACGCAGAACTGATGCACTAAAACAAAAGTGAGGACCGACTTCAGATTTCCAGACTTCTACATTTAAGCCAAAAGTCCCTCATTTCTAATCCAGCTTTTGTTGTTCACCACCCTTTTCTGTTATTTACCCAAGAGAAATGATAAAAATGCACCAAATAAAAATCAGAGCCTTAAGCGATGACCCAGACCGCAAAACACCCCGCTGATCTGCCTTCACTTGACTTATATGTTGAATGAACACTTTCAACAGGCTTAGGTCTGAAAGCAAAGCTTCTACAGCAGTTGCCTGATTATGTGAAGCCTAAAAATATCCAGTTGACGATTTGTGTCAGCAGGTGGCAGAGTTGTGCCGTTTGTAGCGGTTGTATCAACTAGTCAACTTCACCGCTATGTACTGACTTTTTATGCCCTCCATCGACTAGTCGCCGTCACGTGATAATGACCGACAAGATGCAGTCCTCGCAAAAGACAGCAGGTGACCTGCGCGTCGGGAGGCGACGCGCTGTGCCAGAGCATCGGTATCCGACACCCGCCGTAAAACGGACATTTGACCGAATTGTGACCTTTACCCTCTTGCAATTTAACCTTCCCCTCACCCCTCTCTGCGTCCTGAGCACGGCCGCAGTAACATTATCAAATCAGGTGTCGTCACCTCAAAAACAAATTTATCACGCAATCGTTTATGTCGGCTCATTTCCTTTTATGTTTTCTGTCTTTAATTTGTGCCTGATGCGTTTCGCTGCTGTGGAGCGGGGCGCATCGCCCGTTTTGTCCTCCGGTGATTTCACCCCACTGGTGCGGCTGGTGCGCACTCCACAGATTAAAACTGAAAGACCAAAAGGTGAGTTTAAAGGCACACTAGGCAGTTTTGCTTGCTTTTAGCACCCCCTAGTGTTCGTAATTAATCATTTGTAGTCAAAGCAAAAGCGAAACTCATTTCCCTGCTGTGTGTTTGTCTTTTCAGCACCTTAATCTAACAGCTGACATGTCTCCTCAGTTTCATTAGTTTGTAGAAGAGTGATTTATCACCAAATAAAACAAATCAGCTGTGTTCACAATCTCAAACATGCAGGAAACATTGCAGCTCCACCGTGTAAATCCACTCCACTGGCAGGGAGAGGCCTGGAACCACTCAAGTTGCAAGTGCTGCATTCTGGCCACAGAGGGCGGTGGGGTCGGAGTGACATTTCATTAACCATGTAAAGGGTCATTTTAGCACATACTGGCTCAAAAAATATGATTTAAATAGATGAAAAAGTATGCCTTTAAAAAAAAAGACGTAATCACACTGGAATCAGTAAAAAAAAAAATAACGTCAGGCGGCTTAAGGACCGGAATCAAAAGAGGCCAACTAAAACTTCTGTCACAGGGAGAAAACTAACCACAAAGTTAGCAGCGCCGCGGTAGCTGGGTGAAAAAAGCCCCAAAATACGGGCGTCTATCAGACAAAACGTTTTCACTGTGAACAAGCAAAAAAAACCAGTTAATGTGTTGTCTACGTGCTGATTCACACTTAAACTCTGGTGTATTTGCTACTTTTGGCAGCCGGGCGTACACTGTGCGACTTTTTCACTTTTTTGAGCCGATTTTCCACTCGTGCGAGAATCCACGAGATTGGGGCGAGTTTTGCGCTGAGCGTCGTGTAGTGTACAGGGGGTTACGAGAGGCGATTAACACCACGTGACCAGCTACCGATCAGCAATCGTGAGCTCGCACGAACTTCTGGAGTGTTTGATATTTTGCTCGTCCCTCGTGAGGGTATTGCACTGTTGAAGCGGCGCTGCGAGCAGCTGCGACCCAAAAAGTACCAGAACCGCTCACGGCGCATGCGCAATCATGCATCAACACCGCTCGCCCGCTATTTCCCTAATAACACACGTTGTTTGTTTTTATTCCTACACGGTATTTTTACTCACAAAGATCGTCAAGAAAGCGTGTTTGTCGTGTTCATGTCAAATTAAACTGATCACAAAACACAGATTTACTTTCTTTATTTCATTTTCCTCGTCCAACCCCCATAAATCCCTGTGTGTCCTCCTGCAGCACTCCCGAAGGACAACAGGCAAGACAAGACAAAAAAGACTCACGTGTTGTGTAAAAACTGCTATTTTTAGCATATTTTTAGGTCCGACGTGTTGCTACCAGACGTACAGTGTGAGCACATGACTCGTGAGATCTGCCCTGCGAGGAAGTCGTACAGTTTGAGCTGAAGCTGAGTGCTACGAGTGAAAAAGTCGCACAGTGTCCGCCCAGCTTAAGACTAGCCTTGGTGTGTTCACTGCGCTGATGAGACATTGGACTGAACCAACGCACCAGGAAGAAGCGGTGCTGCCAGGACCGATTCACAGCTCAGACACTGTTTTTGTTTATTTGACCTTTAAATCCTTTTAAATGTAAATGTCAGATGTAGCATATCAAACAACACCTCCATAGCTGGGGATTTCTGGTTCAGACCGTCAAACGCCTGAAGTGTTGTATGAACATATGAACCCTCATCTCTCACTTTTCCTAACACTAACTGCCATTAAAACTATTCCCATGAGGTCGTTGCTAAGGTCACACACTGGAAAAATCTTCCCCTCAAAAAGAAATGCCATCATGCTATAATAGCCCAAGATCAATAACCTGATTAAAAGAAAGTTTATTATAAAAATAATAACTTGCATTTTTTAACAATAACATTTTAAGACAATTGCCCTCAGTTCAGCTCAGACAAAAATCCACCTTTCACTCATTCTTCTGCAGCCGAGCATCATTTTATTTGTTGTGTTCTACGTTTCTCTGGGAAAAGTGAGACCAGCAGCATGGATGAAGGGAGAATCACAGAAGACAAACGGCACCGGCTACAGTAACTCATAATCAACAACCCAAGCAGCTTTTTTATTACAAATAAATCTGGAAAAAAAAATTAACTTCAAGCTGATGATGAGTTACTCTCAGAAGAAACCAGGGAACAGGAAGACATGAAAAAGCTTGTATAAGAGGCAGGATGCTCATGTAGAGATGGTTGGTCCCACAGGCACAGCTCACCAGCAACAAAACAGCAGAGGGGGTGGAGGGGTCGGGGGTGACACGAGGAGGGAGACTGAAGGAACAGGGTTGATTTCTCTCTCTTTTGTCTTATTTTGGTACGAGGCGGCACTCACCGACTCCAGGCCCGGTGACGGAGCTGGCTGGCTTGTTTTGAGCAGAAGCAGCGGCGGCCACGGCAGTGCCGTATCCGCCCTTACAGAAATCCCCACTCCCTGAAGCCTGGCCCACATCCTCATAGCCTGCAACAGTCAGACACACAGCCACAGCCCACAGCGTTAGACACACCAGGCAGGGGGATGGGGGCAGACCTGCCTCAGGTAGCATTTGCAAATGGCAGATTCGACCAAAAGCACAGATGGTGCAGCATTTATCTGGACTTTGACACAAACTTTAAAGTCGACGTGGCAAAGCCTGTTGGTCCGGTCGGACCGGCATCATTTGCAAATACTGTATGACCCAAGTCTGGGGAGGGGGAGGGGGGGCAAGCGGGAGTGTGTGTGTGGAGAGAGGGTGAGTGTGAGTTGGGTAAGGGCAGAAAGCAGCAGATGGTGCAGCTTTGAACAAACAAGTGTTGCGCATGTTGTGGAGATCCAGTGACACGGGAACACGGAAAACTTCCAACGGAAAAACTAAATTTTGATTCATGGATCAGATTTTGAGAAAAACCCACAAGAGAAACAATTCATGGAAAAGAGAACATGGAGTGGATATGGGAAGATGATGAAGATGATGTAAGTTGTGTTAAAGATGAAGACGAACACCACTTCCTAAAATAAGGAAAGCAGGCCACACAAATAAGGAGGAAGTAATAATCTAATCCCTCTGCTCTCATTTCTTCTGTGTTTTTGTGTCTTGGTTCAAACACTTGTGACGGGTTCTCTCACGAGCAAACTTTTTAACGTTGTCAGTCACAAACGCTGCAGCTCTATTATAAAATATTCTCCAGTAGGAAAAGGCATACCAGTGCCGTATCCATGGGAACTGTAGCCACTCGCCTGCTGGAAGGGTGTGGCCGATGCGTTCACGCCAACATTCACACCGTGCTGTTTCGAAGAGGTAGGAGCCACCTGAGCGGAGGCAGAACCGGGACACGGGAACGTCAGGAAGGGGGGGGGTAAAAACTTGTGTTAGCAGCGAAGCAAACTGGTCTCCTCACCGGGAACACGGCAGGTCCGTACTGGAAGGTGTTGGGCAGGCCCGGCATGCCAGTGTAATACGGCAGACTCGTGTAGCTGTAGCCGGGCGGCAGCCCCGGGTTGAGGAAGGGCTGCTGGGTGGTGTGGTGCGTCTGGGTCTGATTCTGTTGCGTCTGAGCTAACGTGGTGGCCGGAGCAGGCGACGACGCATCGCCTCGCCCGAACTTTGACAAGTCACCTAAAAACACAGCAAAGGAGGGAAAATACTCAAAGCGAGGCGAAGAAGATAATCTTTTGCGGATAAAACTATGTTTAGCACGACGCCGAAACACGGTCAGACTCACGAAAACTCAGACGTGACATAAGAGCCACCACGACCCAATATGGACTCACCAGAGTAGGGGTTGCCGGGCAGACCGCCCTCTCTGCCCGTCAGTGCCGTCGTGGGAGTTGCAAATGGAATGCTGTAATAATCCTGGAAAACAATACAAGTAAAATAAGGGTCACGTGTAAAACTTGTCATTTCTGTGTGTTTGGCAGAAGAAAACTCACCAACGGGATCCTCGTCTGCAGCATCTGTAGGTCATCATAACCGTACATCTGAGGCTGTGGCGGAAATAAAAGAAACAAATGTCAGACAACTGAAAATTAAAACCACGACTTTCAACCACCTGGGTGTGAAACTCACGGGGTAGGCGTGCAGTAGTCCAGGAGCCATGATGTATGGGTTGGGCAGTAGGGGGGGCACTCCAGGTGGCAGGTTTGGAGGTGCTTTCCCTGAACAGACGAAGCCAAACGAGTCTTTAAATAACTGATTACAGTTTTCTTTAGCTATAAAACACAGAAATTTACATTCAGGTTACTAATCAACCTTATTTTTTTTTACATGAAATGTTTCCTGTAGGGACTTAATAACAAAACTGAAGTTAATCAGGAGCCAGATGATGCTCCAGGAGATCTGTGGGTACCAGGCCCAACCTGAGGATACTGCAGAGCTGCGTGATGAAGATGAAGGCGCCGACGAGGGAATGGTGGAGGAGGTTGCAGAGACTGAAACAGCGACGGGCGCTGCTGATGGGGCCACCATGGAGGCAGGGTTGAGCCCCATAGCCAGGCTGCTGACAGGCCCCTGACCAGAAGGGGTCGACACCGTAACGGGGCCCACTGAGGGGGCCTGAGGGGCCCCTAGTGAAACCTGAGCAGCGGCCATGGAAGAAGAGGAGGAAGGAACCGATGAAGGTGGAACGGCTGAGACAGAGGAAGGGAAGGAGGAATGCAGACTCATGTCACCGTCTACACTAGGATGCTGCAGAAATAAAAAAGATCGATGAGATTAAACGTCCATTAAAGGAACTTAACGAGTCCATCTAAAACCACAGGAACACGAGCAGCTCCTGCGTCCTGGTGCAAACACTAACGAGGCTCACCAGTAAGCCCGAGTTAGACGTCCGCACCGACGGTGGAGCGAGGTTGTTCTGCTGGGAAGGATGTGAGCTGTGGAAGAAAGACAGACGTCACGATTAGATTCCTATAGCTGAAAAATAATCCTACTACTAGTACTACAAGAACTACGGCAACAACTTCTGCAACTATTAAAGGCAGACAAGGCAGTTTGAGCTTGCTTTTAGCACCCCCTAGTGTCAGTTTGTATAACCAAAGAGTATCTCCTCAGTGCGTTTGCCTTTTTAACACCTTAATCTAACAGCTGAAATATCTCCCAGCCTTCATTAATGTCTACAGCAGTGATTCATCACTAAATTAAACAAAGCAGCTGCGTTCATGATTTAAAACATGCTGGAACCAGACTGCAGCACCAGGTATGTCAGCTTTTTTCTACAAAACACCTGTAGAGCACCTGCATCTGTAAAGGTAGGAGGAGAAAGCAGATCACACCGAGACTGAAAGAGTCTGCAAAACCAGACGTTTGCAACCACAGACGCTCATCCAGTGTGATAAATATACTATTGTGGCATTTTTGCTGTCCGTAGACCATTTCTTGGTTTCTCAATGTCCGTTGGCTTAGCTGAGTTGCTGCAGTGAACAGGGGTGTCATTTATCAAACATTGCGTAGAATCCTTACTCAAACCGCTCAGCAAAAAAAATGTACTTACACCAAGTAGGTCTGTGATCTATCAAACATGGAGTACGCACAGCTGCACGCAGTCTCCGCTTCATAAATCTGAGACTAACGAGAATCCCAAAGTTTGCGTGGAAAGTTGCTTACGCAGTTTTCCGACCCCCTTTTGTGCGTAAGCAAGCTTGATGAGACCCCAGAGCAGGGTCAGTTTGTTTTAAGGTGGCGCATCAGCGCTGAATGCAGCACTACCTTTTCCACCTCGTTAAATGCCCAGTTTGCACACATTACATGTGTTTATTACACTCCCTTTGCTGTTCAATTAAAAATACATCCAAATTACAGACATTTTCTCTCTCTTGAAGTGACAAGTATGCTGTGTTAGCCAACAGCTACATGTAATGGTGCGTAAATTCCCGGACTACCTTAAATTGTGGGACTTTCTGGTGTTATTGTCTGTGAAACGAAGAACACTGATGTAGAAGAACTTGTTGCATTTAAAACTAAGCCATTGTTTTTCTGTTGGAAAATCTGTTTCCCAGGTTATTTAAAAAGTAATGTTTGTTTTATATGGATAAATCCAACTTTTCCCACCAATTGCGATTTTCTGAAAATCACATGATCAGAGCATCCCCAGTCATTTTATTCTGGCTCAAGAAAATTCTTTAAAAATATGAAAAATACTACTACAACAACTTTTACTACAACTATAACAACTACTATTATTACAACAGGAACAACAATGTCAATGTCTACTACTATACTACTACTACTACTACAAAAACAACAGCAACAACCACACCTACCACCAACACCAAAACAACTTCTACTACAACAACTAAGTAATACTACTACAACTTTTACTACTACTACAAAAAACAAGAACAATCCCAAATACTGCCACCACCACAATGACTTCTACTACAAAAATAACAACTACAACCACTGCCACAACTCCTACTATAACAACAACAATTACCATTACTACCACCACCACCATTAAAATAACTTCTACTACAACAACTATTAATACTTCTACTACAAAAAACAAGAGCAAGAACAATAACCTCTACTACCTCTACCACCACCACCATCACAAGTACTACAACAACTATTACAAGTACTACTTTTACAACAGCAACAACTACTACTACTACCACCACTACTACTACTGAATCACAGGTTATATAATTCAAAACATCCTACTTGTTGTGCTGAGGAGGAGGGATGGAGTTTGGGGGCAGGTCTTCATTGTGCCCAAGAGCACTGAGGGCCGCCTGATTGGATGTGGTCATTAAGGAGGCGGGGCCTGAGCTGCTGTCTGCTAAAGTGCCCATGCTGGAGACAGATGATGGTGTGACTGAATCAGAAGCAGACTTCACAGGTCCTGCTGAGCCTGATCAAACAAACAAAAATAATTATTAAGAACTCATCTAGAATAATTTTAGTATTCATTTCAAAATAAGGGGCAGAAAAAAGACATTTACCTTCCACATTCTGAGCTGCTTGTATTGAGCTGAAGCCATTCTGAAAAATAATTTTGAAGATGAGCCGACAGGTTACTATGGAAACAGGTCATTAACCTAAAAACTATATTTAAATGTGGTTTTATCTAATCAGAGGTTAAGAGTGTTCACTGGTAGCCAATCGAAGAGAAGGCGTTGTCTACAACCATGATAAATATTTAATATTATAAATGACTCACCTTGGACTGCATGTCCTTCTGAGGAGACGATGAGACCGAGGGCGGGTACCGACGTGTTTGAGACACTCTCTGGTCATACATTTCCATTTGGTTTGAGTTAGAGAGAGCCGGGGTTGACTCGCTGTAAATATCAGGACTGTTTGTGACACGAACTGTACCCTTTTGTATGAAACGCCGATTTGAGGACTTCACCAACCTGCTGGGACTTGTGTACAAGCTGTTCTGAACTTGGCTGCCTGGCGTGGTGGTGGGAGGGGTGGATTCGTACTCTGGTTCTGACCCAAACTGCAATGCCCCAAACTGAAGGTTGAGGCCAGAGATGTCCGTGGAGCCGGGCATCTCGACCGCCATCGCCGGAATCTGAGAAACAAAGAAGCATCGAGAGTTTTCTCTAGAAAAGCCACGTTTGCTTTGGGTTAAAAAGCTGTCTGAATGTTACCTTTGTCATAATGGAGGTTCTCTTCTTCTGCTGTTTGATTTTGTGATGCTGTAGAGGCAGTGGACTCGAACCCGGGTTGTCTGAGGAGCTTGGGGAGACTTGCTGACCTAGAGAAGGGACGGCTGTCATTTTGGGAAGGGAGGATGCGGGTGGCGGCACTGCGTGGGGCGAGGACGTGGTTTGTTGCGGTAAGGAAGAAGACGAGGAAGGAGGCAGCCCTTTGTCCTGCAGGAAAACATCCAACATGGAGGTGGTTGAGGAGGGAGCCTGGTACGGCTGTCGCTTTGTAAAGGGAGAGTGGATCCCAGACTCCGGCTGAGTCTTCATTTCTGAAGGGGAAAAAGAGGTTAAGCTGATGTGCTGTGCAAAAATAAATAAATAAAAATGATCAAATCACCATATTGTCCCAGTGATGTTGCACTTGTGTCCCAGGATGGAGCAGCAGTATTGGAAGGTCCAGTCTGGGAGTGCTGTGCAGCCAGCTGAGCCAGCGCCTGGGCGGTTTTATACTGCTCCAGGAACTGAGAACCAGTGGTCCCTGTGCTCGCTCCTTTAGGCTCTCCGACATCTCCAAATCCTTTGCTCAGCATGCTGACCTGCAGTGTTGGTAAATAATAAAAGACAAAAGAGGCGACACGTGTGCTACGATGAAAATCCGCCATCATTTAAACACATTGTTTTTTTTTTTTTAGGAGTCTCACCATGTTGTGCTGGGAATAAGGAGGGTTGGAGGATGTTTGGGAAAGTGGGACTCCCTGTTTGGAGTTACTAAAGACCAGAGACTGAGACAGAGAGGGGGGTTGGGTGGCCTCCATGGGGGTGTTCTCTGTCTCTGAGGAGGACGTAGGTGGGGTCTTTCCAAGCAGCACCGCAAGGTCAATCCTGCAGATGGGAAGAATTTACATCTTTTAGATTCAAATATTCCAGAGCAGAAAGTTCCTAAATTCATCTGTTGACTATTTAATTTGTTCATTTGAAACCAAACACCTTAAGTAAGGCACAGCTGACCCACCTCTGTCCTTTGGTGATTGTAACATTCTCTTGAGGCATCGGAATCGACGCCACGCTGGAAGCAGTGAAAATCTTGGTTTCTGACAGCTGCAGAAGAAAAACAAGACAAAAATCAAAGAGCATACACAAAAATCCAACACTAAAGAAGAGCCTAGGGTTTTATTTCCATCTTTCCACCAGAATATATTCTTTAGAATTTCTCAGAAACTAAACTCACATCCTCGTTCCAGTCCTCGGTACCCCACTCCTCCTGGGCAGACCTCCAGGCACCTGGGAGTCAAAAACAAACAGTAAGGTCCTAATTTCAGAGAAGGAGCTTCAAAAAGAATAAAGAATAATAAAAAAGACTTGAAGCAGCATACCGGAAGCGGAGTCAAACTTAGGGGGATTATTTGTTCCTTCGCCTGGAGAATACTCCAAGCCTAAATCAAACAGATTGAGAACAAAAGAGTTGTATTAACATAACATAATAAATCTGGAGTTTGTGTTTGTTAACAGCGAGCATCCCTCAGAAAGAAAACTTCCAATCTGGGTTTAAAAAGCAAAACTCAGTAACTTAATCCCATTTTTAATTTTTTCAGCATCAAGCATTTAATGATGAACAGATGCTGAATCAAGATTAGAAAATAATAAACGAACGTACCGGCCCCCTCCTCCGGCTCGACGTTCCCTGTGTTGTTCCAGGCGCTGCCTCCTCCGTAGCCTTCTTCCGTTTGGGCTGGTTCTGCATAATCAGCAGGGTTGAATGTTCTGGGTAGAACAGAAAATAAGCTTTTTTCTATCTCCAATTTTGAGCAAACTTTCTGATGAAACTCACCCCCACAAAAAAATAAATAATATATATATATATATCAACATTAAGATAATAAATTTACCAAAAAAGTAAGAAAAAATGGTCAAAAGTGATCAAAAAGTAGCAGAGAGAAGTTTTAATTTTAGAGTTTGAACAGTTTGTTTTCATGATGCCACGAGAAAAGCCAGGACAAGAGCTTAACCTGCTGAGTTTAAAAAGCAGCTCCTGTCTTCAGCGGTCATGCACAAAATAAGCAGCAAGGGCTTCTGGGAGAGATATTTCTAGTTCACGTGTCACCAGTCTCTGACCAATCAGCTGACTGCTGTGTTCCAGCTGGACGTTAGAAACCTCAGACTTCCTGTCGGCCTCTCTTTACGAGAGAAACAACAAAAATATACATGTTTTAATTTTTTTTCGGAACTGCGCTGCTCTGGGTGGCTGCATGTTGGAGTAGCTCTGTTGAATATATATAAGTTTTGCCTTTTCTTGGACATTTTTTCTTCCAGTTTCTCAAGAAAAACTGTATTTTTTTGGACACTTTACTTTTCTGTTTCTGGTTGTAGAGATTTAAACTACACACTGGAATCAACTCTGTTGCTATTCAGTTGGAGATTCCAAAAAATGACCAATCAGACTAACACATGAGGCTTAGATCATGTATAAATTAGGGCTGTAGCGAAGCCTCGACGAAGTCGACGGCTCGATTCTAAAAATTTGTCGACGTCAGATCCGGAAGTCGACGCACCGCGCCCACTTGTTGCATCCCCAGGAGTTTGTAAATAGAGGAGGAATTTGCCTGTTTTTCCTCTAGTTCACCCTCTTCTCCACCTTCACCAACATCTCCGCCAAATACCGAAGACCCGGAACAACGTCCGTCCACTACTAGATTATTTTCCTGTTTTGCCCCTTCATCTCCCGGCAACGGACAACAACTTCCGGGGTCAGATGCGCTGCTTCGTGTCTATCGCAGATGTAGAAAATCACCGGGAGCGCTTCTCCCTTCATTAAGGAGCTTCTTTCAGACATGAGGAGAGCTGTTTTGGTGGTAGCAGTCTCTCCTCCGTGCTGGTCTGTTTGCTGCTGGGTATTTTTGGTTTATTTAAACTTAGTAACTTGAACTTAATGTTGGTAAAGCTACTGTTAGCATCTTTCTGGTTTTTGTTAATTGTGCAATAGAAAAATAATCATTAGATTAATTTTCTAAATAGTCATTAGAATAGTCGACTATTCGATAAAATAATCGTCAGAATAATCGTTTTAAAAATAATCGTTTACCCCCAGCCCTAGTATAAATATCCCCGATACTTATGCATCAATCTAAGTTCATACAACAACCTGTTTGATCTAATTTTAATCCAAGGATTAAGGTTTAATTTAGATAATTAAATTTATAGCAAAAGTTATTTTGAATCAGAAGCTAGGAATCTTTGCTTTCAAATAAGCAGAAATATTGTACCTTTTCTGTGTTTCGCTTCGATAATGAGGCAAGTTTAAAAATGAAGAAATTTATTTCTAACAATGTTAAACTTAAAAGATTTGAAACGACAATTCACGGATGACAATTTAATAACAATTTTTAACAGCTTTGATATTAAACTTGTTTTAAAGGCAAACCTGTGGCTGGATGGAAGCTAAATGAAAATACGAGTTTGAATGCGTGAATGGAATTATTTGAAGGTTTCTTTCAGAGAGTTGGAAGCGTTCTGGATGGAAATGATGTTTTGCGGCTACCCGAGTCTTTAGAGAGAACAGCATCAAATGTCATCTGTCGATTAGTGTCTACCTCACCCAGTTTCCGGAGACCCCCTTTCGGATCCGAGATGTCAGGTGGAGATTATTTCCTCCGGGCACGAGGATGGTAGAAGGACCTCTATGCGACCAAATCAGTCCTGGGTTGTCTCCGTGGGTCACACGACTGATGAACTATTGGCGTCTCAAAGTCCGTAACTCTAAAGGAGTTTTTCGTCTTAACTCAGAAATCAATGACTCTGGGTAGAGGCTTCGTTATCTGGTTACAGTTGTGTTTATTATTAGCTATTCTTGTCGGCGTGACAGAACAGCAGGTGGAGGTTTTAGGAATGGCCGTTCCCTTCCTCCGTGGTGTTGGTTCAAGAACTGACTCGAAGCTGGTGATGGTTAGTTTTACCAAGCTCTCAGGACACACCCACTCTCAAGAAGAAAGCTTTGGTCATGCGTCAAAAACATGTGTTGCAGTTATCGTTTATCTGGACTCTGTGTTAGATGGATAAGGTGAACTGACCTTCTTTGCTGAACACATCTTTTACCGTCATCAACCATAATCATAATTAATCGTTATACCCAAAGCATAAATTCATTTCATGTAATTAAAATACCTTTATATTGAACCAAGTGATCATATATGATGATTTTCATAAACAGTAATAAAATCAATGAGTTTTATTAATTATGATCTAATTATTATCATCGTGACTTGAAGTGTCCTCCTCCTGGGATGGAGCAGCAGCAGATATGAATATGATCTTGAGCGGACATCATGGCTCCTTGTTTAATCTGTGGATTTAAAAGTACTGGTTGACCCAGCTGGGTAGATGTGCCCTTTGCCACAAATTAGAGGACCTTCGGTGACGCTACATGGTGCTGTGAAGCTTGGAGGATTTTTACTACATTTTTTTAAGCTTTTTTCACTTTTTGCGCATTTGTTATGATGCGTAACCATGGAAACAAGCTGTTTACAATCGGGAGCAGCTGATTAACATTGGAAAGGCTGAAATAATACCTCAACTGAAGCCACAAATCCCAAATGAGCTAAAACGCAACAAGCGTGGGTGCAGAGCGGGGGCAAAACGGAGACAGAGAAAGGAAATTCAAAGCATCTCTTCCGTCGATCATAACGGGCAATGTGAGATCATTGGCCAACAAGATGGAGGAACTCCAAGCCCTTTCAAGGACTCAGCCAGAGTTTCGGCAGTTTCGGAACCACTGGAGGAGATAATGATTGATTGATAATGCAGAGAAGGATTCCCCAGAGAATCAAGAAAATTATGGACAATCCTGAGCATTCTCTTCACAAGACTGTCCGACAACAGAAGAGTGTCTTCAGTCAGAGGCTTCTTCAGTTTCGCTGCAACACTGACCGCTACTGGAGATCCTTCCTGCCAACAGCCGTTGTAATATACAATAACTCTTTGATGACTTGATATATTATTATTATTCTGAGCTACTACAGCAATCAATTTCCCTCTGGAATTAATAAAGTATTTTTGAATTGAAGAAAACCTTATTTTAACCACAACCTGATGCGTGCATAAGCTAACTGCTCTGATCTCACTGCTCCATCTCCAACAATGATCCTTTTTACCAACATGCTGAATTCTGACCGACTTTATCAGCATTTCCCTGACCAACACGCTACATGCACTACACAGCTTAGTGAAAGCAGGAACCTGTATGCTGCTGGAATATTTTGCATTAGTTGTAATAAAGTGATTGATGATATGCAATAAAAAACAAGGTGGTACGTAAGTTGTTTAAGAACGTTCCTGGTGTTAGACTGTAGGAGGTTATTTACAGTGCAGAGTGCTGCAGCACAATCAACCAATCTACTAAAAGTGACAGGTGGGTTTTAGATGTTTCCACTACAGCCAGTAAGCAACAAAGCTGCAGCAAATAAACCAGCATAATGAGCTGAAAACGCAAAGCTTCTGCTCGATTTCATGTCCATGAACGGGGCGGTTAACTGTGGTGCGTGTCAAGTCCGCACGGTGGACATCATTCTGGGAAAACTGTGGATCACCGGGCGGATAGCAGCGCAAACATAACACCCATATGTCCCACATTCATCCCGGTTAAAACCACACGTGTACCGTTAGTGCAGCTGCACTCATCAAGCTTTTACAAAGAGAATATTTTGGCCCTTCTGAAGTGTGACTTTGTGTGAAAGTTATAAATAACCACCATCCTACCTGTTGTGGACAGCTTTCTTTATAGCCTTCGTCTAGAGCAGGGGTAGGAAACTGCAGTCCTACAGAGCTGCTATCCAGCACGTTTTAAAGGTTTCCCTGCTTCAACACACCTGATTTTAATCAGCTGGTGATTAAGAGACTTCTACAGAACCAGATGAGCTGCTGAACAGGTGAACCAACTGTGCTGAAGCAGGGAAACAAGTAAGACATGCTGGATAGTGGCTATAAAGGAACAGGGTTCTCTGCCGCTGGTCTAGAGGAAGTTTACATCCCACATGAGTGATAAGCTAAAGGCCAGTCCATTTTCAGTGCTCTTGACTGATCCAGGATCTGGTTTTCTCCTGGTTTAAAAGCATTACGGCATTGGCAACGAGCACCAGCGGGGGCCTGCAGGAGCCTGGTGCTTGAGCAGACGGAGCAGCATATTTGTTTATTTTCTTATTATATATTTATAGCTGCAGTCGTGTGTTGCTTAGACTTATTTTCTGTCCCCCACTCTGCACCATTGGTACGTGAGAGACAGAAGTGGATTCACTCGCTTCCTGCACCAACAAAACGGGATTTACCATAATTACACTATGTGGTCTTAAAAGTGCAACTTCTCTTCTAAAAAAATATATATCATTAAATCTTTTCCAATAGCACAAACATTTGCAAAGTTACGGTAAACCAAAGTAAGCGTGTGAAATACATTGGCATTTGGTGTTATAGCGTTAAAACGTCCAGGCCTCTAACAAAATGCTGGAAAACCTCTGAATGCTTGTTTAATGTTGAGAAATCCATTTGAAACAATTATAACTTTTAGTTTTTATCCTTGCATTATTAGAGTAATTTTTTTAAACAAGCTTTATTTGTTTTTGTCGCAAATACAGAATCAAACTAACAAACATGCATCAAATATACACATGGACAGACATCAGCTCATTAACCGACAAGAGGCACGTTTTTTTAATTTTTTCATTATTAGAGTAATCGCTTTCAATGTTTTGATGGTATGATGTCATTTCCCGTCACGTTTGTTAACAATACTGTACGTCGTGATTATTGAAGAAAAATCCTTAATCGAACTGAAATCGTAATTCAATCTTTTCTTAAAACTGTTCAGAGATGTTATCTCCGATCTTCGAAATTTCAAAACAGTGTTAACTTCCCACAACAGCAAACTCCACAAAACGCTTTTATTACGTGAAATTTTAGGGTTACTCGCGAGAAATATGACTACTACGACTATGGAACACAAAACTGATATACTCAGACTAGCAGTTAGCCCATCAGTCCTGTAGATGTGGGCTTGGGTTGTGTAAAGGTAGGAATCTGGCGATACGATATGAGAAACTAAAAACGAGACATTTGTAATATTTAAGACCTCAGGCCAGACGCTTCAGAGTCACGTCCAGACTTATCGCGAGATCTTGTCCATTTGTGAGAATGAAGGCAGTAAACACTGCGGCCACCTAGCAGTCGGAGTGTTTCAATTGCACCACACAAAAAAATACAGTAAATATTTGCACGTAAACTCTTAAAAAAAAACAACTAATCAATATATTGCTTTTAAACATTGGTTCAGTATCTTTACATCCATTACTGCAATACCTCAGTGTATCAATACTTTTCATCCTGTTTGGGGAGCCGTCTCATCGTGACCATTTTCTACTTTTACACATAAACACAACAAATCGGTCAAAATATCCCCTTAAAGACACACGTTCTATATGCTACACACACACACAACTGTGGCTGTAATAAATGTCTACATGCGTTCTCTTACATCGGTTAACAAACTGCCTGGGAAGAAAAAGAGAAACAACCACACAGCTTTATCTGGCTTAAACAGTCTGATAATTATCAAAAACTAATCTCTTATCAGTGATGACCTCTAGCAAACACTTTCATTGTGAAGGGAACATTTTAGCCAGGTTTAGTAGATGATTGAGGCATGATTTGAGAAAACAACACTAATGACACACAAAAAGGAGTTGTGTGAAGGGACTTTGGGAGATTAGATAACATGAAAACACGTCCGTTAACCTTGAGTGCAGCAGCACGTGGGAAGCACTCCACTAGAGTTTGGGATAGAAAAGTCCAACTCATCGTTAATAAAAATGACAAATTATACAATAGTTTTGCACAGCGAAGCTCGTGTATTCCACGTGATGTCATTGTTACTGTTTGCAGAAGCACTTTAGCAAATCTTTGAATCTTATAAGAGCTTTCGGCTCCATCTCGATTCTCCTCAGCAGCCGACATTCATCACAGCGCTCCTACCAACTCTTTGTCTTAAGGAGGAAAATTAGATCCCTTCCTCTGAGCAGGAAGCCACACCACGTCAATAACCAAGAGCCACAGAGGTTCCCTTCAGCAGACCCTGACAGGTTCTAAGATCTGAGTGCGCTTTACTCTGAAGCTGCTCATAAAAACAACGGACTGCATCAGGAATGCCATCACAGAACAACGGCTCGTCTGTTGTGACACTCGGCTGCCAGCTTAAGATGCTAAATCATCAACCGACTCACTCATGCAGACAGACACCGAGGCGTGAACGCACAGTGAAACTGAGACAGAGATCACACAAAACAGATGGATTGATGCCGCAGCAGAGAGACTAGTCAACGACCCGAGTTTCACTAAAACGAGCCGTTTGGACGCTGCTCAGCCCATGCTGTTCCATCTCACTGGATAAAGTATGTCCTCCCTCCTTTTGGATTAAAGCTAAACAATGGATTTGGGTCCTGCTCTCTGGTGACCATGGCAACAGGTAAAAGTGGAACAAAAGGACCTATGGATTTAGGCGACACAGGTGTTCCCTTACCCCATGCCCTGCGCTGAAAACCTGCCTCCTCTCCGTCCGGAAACTCCTGTGGATAAAATTAGAGCTCCGGTCACTTTTAGTCCAACTTATTGTTGATTCTTGCAAAAAATGTAAAAAAGCATCACCTCACAGACAAACTGGGAGTAAAAACGAACCCTTACCAACAGCTCCCCGTCCTCTGCCTCGGCCCCTTCGACCCCGCTCCGCCCCTCTTCCAGCTATCCCGGCTTTGCCTCCATCCAAGCCGTTCTCCTGACCACGAACTTCGGGTAGAAAGAGCAAAAACAAAAAACCTTCACATTAAAATTCTGCAAACCTCAGAAAAATAAACTCCTTAGAAAAGAATCAAAGATTTAATAGGAAAACTGACTAAACTACATTTGGCACAAACAGACAGTAACGGCTCACACTCTCGTCCCCTGCTTGCTCCGCGACCCCTGCGCGAAGCTCCACCTCGGCGACGTGCTGCATCTTTCTCTCCTCCTTTCTCTCTGTTCTCCTTGCCTTCTTCTCCGGTTTCTGCCTGGCTGGTCTCCTTTTGACCCGACACCCCTTTCTTCTTACCCACCATTTCCCAGGAGTCCTTTAAGAAGAGAAACACAGCGTCAAACTAGCATTTCCACCTGTGGCATCATGGGATACCGTTGTGAACGGACGTTTACACAGGAAAGCGGAGTATAAAACATGCTCGATTTGTTGCAGATGGCACATAAAACTTTGTAAGAGCCGACTGTGGCTGTAAAAAAACCTCCAACAAAAAAATAATTTCATTTGTTACAATTTATTTCTGAGAAAATAACGTAGGTTTTTTTTTATATTTACACAATACTTTTCTTGTATTAATACCATGTTGTAGTCACTAAAGAGACAGGACTAGATTAGCTTGACTTAAAGGAGTTTTTCACGCCTCACTAGCACAGATTTTTCCACAATCTACCCCGAGACAAAGCATTTACTCACAGTGTCTGGGCTACCCTCCAGCAACACATTAATGGCTCTGTTGACGTCCCCGTTGCAATCATGCAGCGCGATCATAGACTCATCCTGGTCCTTTCCAGTGATGTCAATCAGCTGCAAGAGGAGGGGCGAACTATGAGACGCTAAGGTGACCCCAGGAGTGCTTTTCTGCTTTTGAATTTATACTAAAACATGCTCAGAACTATGGAAACGAGCAAAACAATGCATCAAATAAAAAAAGTCAATAGATGAGTCAAACACTGAAATAGGGTACCGAAAGTTAAAAATTTTCACATTATGCCAATAATAAGCTAAAATTCCCCCAAAAAATGAACCCTCCAATCAGAAACTGTCTCCACAATCAAACTTTCTGTATAATTTACTAAAACAAAAGTATTGCTTCTCAATGAAAAGGTCAGCCAGCAGCCATGGAGGATTAAAGCTGCCAGCCTGACTTCTTTGAGCATGTTGTGACACAACTTCCTGCTGAATAAATAAATCTCTCCCTGTAGCAGAATAGTTAGTCAAGCGTATAACTCAAGTCATAAAAGCCACTCAAGTGTTTGGTTTATTATCCAAAGGTATGAGAATAAAAATAAGTCCTAATGAGGTCCGTGTCTGCTCACCTGTTTAACCTTTTCTTCAAAATCTGCATCGTTGTGGTCTGAAATCATCTGCGCGAGTCTTATCTGCTCTGCGGTGGCCTGCGAGAAGAGGGAAACATCCAGTATTTGCATCTACTGCAAGTTTATTAATATCTGCCTTATTTATTTCTAGATAAACTTGTTTTATTAGTCAAGCGATGAGTCCCAAATGTTGGGATGCGTTTGCATAAGAAAGCGAGGGCTTATCAGAAAAGGCCGGATTAATCTATTGGTGTAAATCATCGTGAACGCGTGGAGCAGGTACCTGAGGCCTCTGCTTGTGCTGTGTCTGGCTCTGTGTCTGGCCTTGTGTCTGCTCCCAGCTGCCCCGGACTCGGTTCCCGCCCATGGACGTCATCATTTACAGTATATACAAATAACAGTATTTACAAAGAAATAACACCTGCAGGAGAGAAGAACGAGAAGAGAGGGATAGTTATGACCTACTTGAACATTTGTATGACTGTTATATTTAATTAGTACTTCCTCAGTAGGATGTTTATTGCTTTATGTTGAAGATGGAAGCAGTGGTTCACAGGAAAATGTCATTTTGGTTCCTTTGTATGACCTGGATTAGTCAGATGATGCAGCTCCATTAAAAACTTACGAGACTATAAGTTATTTACCTCTCAGAACATGACGTAACATTTCTGCATCTAAAAAAACCTAGGTGATGTTCAGCAAGCCCACCCATCAAATAAATATGATCACAGAGCCTTTCAGACACAAACAAGGCTGTGTTTATATCAGATCTGACGGGCTGGACACAAGCACAAGATCAGTCACGTACAACTTGGTTAATAACAAACTGTTATTCCTGCTAATGTTAAGTGAGAACTTAATCTTGTACAGGTTACGTAAAACCTCAGCCTTGACTAGCTTAAAAACAAACGCAGGCCCTGTCGAACATTTCCCGGTTCTGCTAGCCAGCCGCATGGTCAATAAGCAGGCCACTGGCTAATCCTTAAAGGAAAACATCCAGCTCTGAAGCCTCTTGGTGGGCTTCCGCTTCTCTGGGCTTCACCTCATGGCGACAACGAGGCTAACTTTAACAGCTAGCCAGCTAACTCGGTGCGGAAACCTGGCTGCGTACGCAGCTGTTAGCTGACTTAGCTTAGTAGACAACATGTTAATTAGCTCACCAAACAGTGACATGCTGGGGAGTTTTAACACTCGAAGGGGTAAAACTACAGAACGCCCATAACGGTCGGCAAACACAAGCTGGATGCTAACAACTAGTAGCGAAATAACGTCGTTCCGAACAACTGAGCAACTTTAGCTACGTTAGCAAATTAGCAGCTCGTACATTGCAACACTCTAAGCCAGGGTGGGCCCGGTATCATCTGTTTCTGGGAGTGTCGACCTGGAAAACACCGAGGCTGGGGGCAGGCCTGCAGGCCGCTAGAATGAAAATAAATAGCAGGCGATACTGACCAGAAAACCCGGCTCAATATCGCAGAGCCACACAACTGGCCGACAAGAGCCGTTGGCGACTTTCTATTTTGGATTTAAGACAATATATAAACCCGAAACTTAATGTGGTTGCAACTATTTCAGGAAAATTATGATTAAAAAAGAGCCGACTCGCTCACACAATAAACGAGACGCTGAATTTACCTGTTTCCTTTCCACTCTGACACCACGGAGAACTGCGTCACGTGGTTTTGGAGAGCGCTTCGAGGAAACCGGACCCGCACCACGTGACCCGCTCTGATATAGTTTGATATGATCAACAGAGCTGAGGCATGTCTCAACAACATGAAGGAAAAACCGAAATACATCCCATATTTTCTGCCCTCAGGAAAAAAAGCACAAAATTAAAACTTTCACAGCTCCGCAAGTATCCAGAACTAAAACCATTGAGTTTTGACAATGCTAGACCATGATCATGATGTTTATGAGGACTTAATAAATAATATAAACAAATTGTTTTGTTTAAAGTTTGAACAAAATATTTTGTTTATATTATGTATTAACTTTAATACAAATTTAAACTATAAAATCATTTGTAAACACATTAGATAACGACTTAGATGGTAGTAATAAAAAAAGCTTGCTTCGTCACATTTCTTAAATGAGTTTGTTTCCGGCTCAAGATTAAGCTGCGTTTCAAACAACTGCACAAGTTAAACAGGTTAAATGAAAAACAATATATTGAAAACAAAACTGATGTTACATGAGAACAGCAAGAGAAACAGAACTCAAGACTGGTTTAACAGCATTACTTGTAAATATACCCCGTTCTCGTGTTTATTTTACAATGATACAAAATATTACACATTAATTTGAATTCACATTTAGCGAAAATAATTCACTTGCAATAAAAATATAGTTTTACACCAGAAATCGTGTTTGTTGATTTTTGTATTGTAATTCACACTCCAACCACATGAGGACGGTCGTGCACCATAACGCTATTTTTACACAGCTGATTGTCAGTTTTAAGCTAGCATTAGCTAACTGCAAATATTTTCATGTGTCGATCAAGAAGAGGAGTTGCGAAGGAGAGGGAATTATTACAAATAGTGAAAGTCTTGTTTGCTAAGATAATGTAGGCGTGTTGGATTTATAAAGTGAATAAAAAGCATGGCAGACTCGTCGCCTTTGTCCGGTGTTAATGTCGTTTTGGTCATGGCATATGGGAGCTTGGTAAGTAAACAAATGCGATATCCACGCAGCGACGTGGTTTTACTTCATTTTAACTCCTCTTGTGCGTCTGCAGGTGTTTGTTCTGCTGTTTATCTTCGTTAAAAGACAAATCATGCGTTTTGCCATGAGGTCCCGCCGTGGACCCCATGCTCCCATCGGCCACAACGCACCAAAGGTAAAGGTCAATTTTAGAACAGCTCGATTGCATGTTTACATGAATGTATTTGCAGGGTTTGAGGGAAGAGATCGACGCCACGCTGTCGAAGGTCCACGAGATCCGGTTCGAACCGCGTCTGTTATCAGAAGAGGACGACAGACTCAAGCGAGGATCACAGATCAGTCAGTCATGTTTTGTTTCCTGCAAAAAAAAAAAAAAAAAAAAAAAAAAAAGTTTAATTCTTGTAACATTTTCCCTATTGTTTATCACAGGTTGTTACAATTACCTGTACAGAATGAAAGCTCTGGATGCCATTCGTGACTCAGGTGAGATGAAATTATAACGCTTGTCTAATAATGTATGAGAAACCCAACACACACTTTTATTCATATATGCGCATAAAAAAATGCAATCACAAGTTTATTTTTTTTTCAATCTAATTAGCTGTGTGTGTATTTCACATCGATCCTGCGTCCCATTTTAATTCCGGTTCCTTCCTGTTTGGATTATAGGAATTCCTCTACAGGAGATAAGCGTCAGTCCCACTGCGTTTACTGGACGCAGCTTCAGGATTTGGCTGGTGGAGCTGCGCAACTCCCACTCTCTGATCAAGAGCAGCCGGAGTGCTCTCATCGACCGCTTACTTGAAGGTTATGACAGCGCCCGCCATGGGACCGGGGTGGGTGCAGGTGCTCTTGTGAAACAGAAGGTGGAAACTGTGGGATTGCAAACTGATTGGACTTTAAATGTGTGTTTCAGGTGTTCGGAGAGGCGGAGTTCCTTGAATATCAACAAGCACTCAATGAACTTGCTGAAGTGTAAGTGCTTCTTAAGGTTTCCAACACTGGAACAAATACTTTAGTGCTATATTAACAGGGCAACGTCTGAGCAGCTTTCCAGTGATATTTATAACAGAGTCATCACATCTTAGGATCCACTACTCCTATAAAACATGGTGTACTTAATAACTTGAATGCAACAGACTTTTTTAGATTTGCACAATATATTTTAGTAAAGCTCTTTATTTGGATTCCCTTTTAGTGTGAAAGCCTACTCCAACAGCACCAGTCTGGACCAGCATCATCAGTCTGCAGCAAAAGACCTGACAGGCTCTCCGGTCCGTGGCGCTCCCTCCACCATCCAGGTCACCTATCTGCCCTCCACTGGCCAGCGCAGCAAGAGGCCCAAACACTTTCTGGAGCTCAAAAGTTTCAAAGACAACTACAACACACTGGAGAGCACGCTGTGAAACGCTGACCATTAGAAAACGTGAACAACTGTGAGCTTTAAACTATAAGGCACAGGATTTGAGAACTCTGCTCTGTAGAGCAGCACAAAGATTTTCTAGTCTCAATCTGGACAGAATTTATTTAATTTAGAGGCTGCTTGTTCAATTTTGTCTTTAAAAAACAGTTTTTTGTTATATTTATGTAAGCAAACATTATTTTATGTGAAAGCTGTATCTCTGAAGTGGGAAGTAAAAATGATGTTTTTTGTTGTTGTACTTTTTATATCCACTAGGTGGCAGTATGACCAAATAAAGCATCAGGAGTCAGGTCACTCCGACTTTAATTTATGCTTAAATACCAAAAAGTCTACAGTATTTATTTACAGTTCACAGTAAAATGACATATATTACAAAAAGAAATCAAAGTTCATGGAAATGGTACAAAATTATGTTAAATTAGAGTTAAATAAGGATTTAAGCACACATCATGAATGGACAACAAGAACAAACCAAAGAAAATGTGAAATAACCTATAATTCTATTTATTTCCTCTACACAGACCCTAATCTCAGCATAAAGATTTTCATCACTTGAAAATGACTCACTTTTCAATAATGACATGCCCTAATATCAGCAACGTGCTGCATAGCACAAGAATGACTGCGACCCCTGAGGAGGCGCTGGAAAAAAAAGTCAACAGTGATTATTCTCATCTGCATCAGTGATCGGTGTTCTGACAAAGCACCACACATAGCAGAGCAGCATTCATGCAGTTTATGCATATTCATCTAAACCTTCGCTATGTTCTGAGGAGCCGTCTGTAAAGTATGTGGAAAACGTTAATCGACTATGTTCATAATTTTTTACCATCCACAAAAATGAACTGCATCACAAATTTTTATTTAACCACCTTCTAATTCTAAAAAAAAACGTTTAATAATTAGCTTTCAAATATACAAGTCAGGGTGTCATACGGTCAATAAGAACGTGTATGATGATCTGATGGGTGAACTGGCCCATCAGGGTGTCATACGGTTGTTAAAAATAAATTGTATGATGATCTGACAAAGCATGCCTATCTGTCAATGTATGGAGACTGGGCGGAACACCAGATCAGTAAAATTCAGAACTAAATAACTTTACAAATCTGCTTCCTTTCTGCTTATTTCATAAGTTTTCACCTTCACACACACACAGACCTGCATCAAACGCATCTACGAGGTGATAAATGAGTATTTCCTCTCACTAGTTGGTGGCTAAACACATATTTACAAAGTATTTATTTCCTCCAAACGTTCCTCCTCATCAGGATTTGATCTCGATAACTTTGATGAACGGGAGCGCTTTATTGGTCGGCGAGGTCGGTTTGAGAGGTTTGCTGTAAAGGAGGTAAAAAAAAAGTTTTAGAACACAAAAAAAAAAACTAAGATTGCCTCAGCTAGACTGTGTCGGTGTTAAAAATGAGCAGAAATGATTCCTGACCTGTAAACAATCTCCGGCTTGTTTTCCACAGATGAGGGTGGGGGGTCCTGACCTGCCAGTAAGTATTCCATGTGGTCGCGCAACTCTTTATTCTACAAACACAAAGATGCATAAACCTGCGTGTTTATTTAGGATAAAAAGACCAGATGAAGGTAATGTCAGACCTAAGAGGTGAGATCTGATTTAAAAAGGCAAATAGAGAAGACGAGAGGAATATTTCATCTTTGTTTCGACATTTCTGACTTAAAGAAAGTTTAAAATTAGATCAAATATAGAAAACTGGATGTTTATGAGCCTTTCGTTAAGTAATCCATATATTTTATAAACAAGAAAGGTGCTGACCTCAGCTTGCATGAACGCCACTCGCTCCTCCAGATCCAAGACGGCCCGATCTCTCTCCTGAAGAACCGTTCTGGAGTTCTGCAGCTGTGTTACGGATAAACAACGTTCCCGTAAAACTGTTGACCTTAAAGCAGACTCGTTATTAGCTGCCTTTGGGTGAAACCCGTTACCTGTTCGATCATTAGGCGGATTTTCCTCTGCTGACTCTTCAGCATGTCGTCAAACTGGTGATTCTTTTTTCTCAGCAAAGCCAACTCCTCCTCAAGTTCTGCACATCTACAACAGAAACGTGACCAGACGGGGTTTTATCAGCGAGATGTGAATAACAAGTCTGTGTTTGCATCAAATTTAAATACATTAATTCCTAAAGTTCGATTAAAATCGCACCTTTCCTCTGCCGTGTCTTCCTCCTCCTCTCTTTCTTTGAGCTGCAGCAGCTCCGTCTCCGCGGCAGCCATTTTTTCTTTAAGAACACTGTTCTCGATCTCCGCACTTCCCACCTGCCTCTTCAGCTCCTCTACCTGTTGGGTTTTCTCCTCCGCCTGCTGCTCCACCTCCTCCAGCCGCTTCGACTGCTCAGCCAGACTGATACGACACGCGTGCGAATCAGCCTGCAAACACCAAGCACAGCGGGAAATGTGACTTGGCGTGAAAACGTTCAAATTACCCGAGTCCCTATCATACGCAGGTGAGCACGGAATCTTCAAAAAAAGTATTTTATTCATGTGTTTGTTAAAATACAATTACTTATAAACAGTGTTGGGCAAGTTACTTCAAAACTGTAATGCATTATTTATTACTTGTTACCCTCATTTTAAAGTAATTCATTACATTACAATATTACTGATTTTAAAATGTAAGGCATTACACTACTTTTGCATTACTTTAAGTTACTTTCACCTAAACAACTTCAATATGAATCTGGTAATCTGACACTCAGTGAGCTCATGACATATATGTGGAAGGTGATGTGGTGTCTGAGCTAGGATTGCTGTTAAAAACAGTCAGATATAATAACAGTGCTTTAAAATGATTGTTTATTAAATAAAAGCAACAATCTGTACTCTCAGCACGCTGCCATCTTATATTAACTGAGCAGGGAGTAAGGTGGTGGGGGCTCCAAGCCTATATTTGCCTTGGTCCCCAAATGCCTTGATACGGCCCTGGATGTGGGACTGACTTCTGGGGTGATCTGATTCTATCACATGTATAAATGTTAAATGCTTATATATCATTGCTTTTCACTGGTAAAAATGTGTATTGGGGATAAATCTACCTACTTTTTTCTTTTCAAGCACTTTGTTTTGTTTTCTTGATTTTATTTGAATAATTTCCGGCCCTTTCTCTCTCTAACCTTCCTGCGTGCTGCGTGTTTTCTCCGTCTTCCAGAAAACTGTTTCCTAGATTTCCTACTTTCTAACTAATCAGCCAAAGGGATCTACCGAACCAGCTGCAATGACTTGAAATCACTGGGGCACAGATTATGAACTCAGCTGAAAAGTACATTAAGTACCAGAGAATATGGGCGGATATAAACGATCGCAAGCGAATGACTTTGTTTTGGTGGAGCGATTTTGTGAATATAACAGCGGCCGCGCGCCGGACGCAGCTGGAGTATTTGAGCCATTACCGCCGCGCCCTCTCTGCTCATAGAATGCCCGCAAAGCTGAGTCCATAAATTACGTCATATATGTGGATACTGGATCTTTTGTCTGGCTTCCCGCAATTTGAATTTTTAGGAAACCCACATCTTGATTCTGGGTTTAAAAATGCATTGTAATTACCGCGTTACTGACAATTGTACCAAGTAAATATTACCATTTTCTTTCCCTGTAATGCCTTACATTACCACATTACAACGCAATGCATTACAATAATTAATTACTTTTGTACCGCATTACTCCCAACACTGCTTATAAATATTTCTAGAAATAGGGTAAAAAAAATGGATCTTTTTTTTTAATCTATTAGCATTTAGACTATTTTCAGGCTAATGATACTCGGCTAATGTGAAATTGGAGCTCAACATCTGCATGACTCACTGAGAGCTATGAAATGAAGCAAAAATGACTTGACGAGTAAGTTTGGTTTTGCTAGCATAAAAAAGGAAATAAACTACACAAAGAACAAAAGTTTGTGGTAAAAGAAAAAATAAAATCTGAGAAGCACATCTCTGCGTGCCCGGGCAGATCGGTTTATTACGACCAAATGTGAGAGAGCAGCAGAGAGCTGAGTCACAGCTGCAGGCGGGAAACTCAATTCCAGTCACGGACCTCCAGTCTGTCCCGTTCCTCCTGATGCCGCTTCTCCATCTCCTTTAGCTGAGCGTAGAGATGTCTGGTGGCCTCCCGGAGCTTCACGCTCTCCTCCCGACTGTCCCCGAGCTGTGAGAGAAGGTAGACGAGGTGACAAGCTCAATTAAACTTAAGCTCACTTGAGCCTGAGAGTGAGGCGAGAGTTAAAATAAGGGCCTCAAGTCTGAACAGTCTAAATTTAACGTTTCTCTTGTGCTCGAGTGGGTGGAATCATTTCCCTTTTTAATTTGCACAGCTTAAGAATCCGAAACCGGCAGAAAGGAGGCCAGTGTAAACGGAGCTAGGTTTACTTCTGTAACACACACACACACACACACACACACACCCTGATTCAACATTGCCTTAAAGGTGTGGAGTTACAGTGGCTCCAGAATAATAAACAGGAAATATAACATTGCGTGAGTGTTAAAGTTCTGGGTGCTGTTATAAACCTCTGAAAGCAGCATTTCCACCTTTAAGGACATTGCTAAGAAGTCAGCGTATCACAGCTATTTGGTCAGTGAGTGACATCACTGCTCTGCACCACGAGCATTAATAAATGAATAATAATTTTATAAGTTTCCTTCTGTAATATAATTTAGTCAGGGGGCGGAGAGAGCGGCTGTGTGACGTAAAAAGCGGCGTTAAAGCTGTTCTGGCGAATCTACAAACAAGCTAGGATTTCAACGCAAACACGGCCACGAAACACTCTCCCCTCCCTTCGGGTATCTTCCCTGAGACGCCTCTGCCGGAACCGGAGACCCGTGAGGCCAGGGGTAATGAGATGGCGCTAAGTACCGGTCGCTGTTTTCTCTGTCCAAATGTCTTTTGTTGTCTGTGACTTCAAACGGTGGTTTTCTTTTTGGGACTTTGGTAGTTTGTCCTAAAGTTGAAGTGCTAGCACCCGGCTGTTTCTCCTCGTCCGATATTATTGTGCGGAGAACCTCTCACACCACTGGTCTGTTGCTAAACACACAAGTACGTAATGAGTGGAGGACCCAGGGAAGTGTGGTGGTTTGGTGAGACTGACATCCGGATGGTCCAGTGGCTGCTTTCGGTCTGAAAGCAACTACTGGCAAAGGTTTCTAGACAAATGAGGAAAAAAAACACTTCATTAATTTTTTTTTGTTTACCTCCACAAGATATTTAAAGCCATACTGTGTTAGAACGTTGTTAAAAGGTGTGAAAGAGCTCATTTGTTTTCCAAATTTGCCATTGTAACTTTAAAAAACCAGAAGAAACGCCACTCTGTAGGAGACCACATGACAGCGATTTGAGACTTTGCGGAGGGATTTCCAGATGTTTTGTCGTTGGGAGTTTAAAAATGCTCGTTTCTCTTTTCCTTCCATTCTGCTTCACCAACAACTCTTCCAATTTTACAATTAGAAGAAGATGGCTGCTCATACTGAGCCAGGTTCTGTTGGAGGTTTCCTCTTCACCTACATGCTTGTTTAGTATTGGGGTTGCTGTAAAGTCACTGACACAAGTCAGTGACTCGATGCAATCTTCTAATTGGTATAATGAACTGAACTCAGTGCACTGATAAGTAGGTTCAGTTGAATGTTTGCATTGTGAACTGCCTTGAGATGACTTTTGCTGTAATTTAGCGCTAGACAAGTAAACTGAATGAATACTAAGACTTCTGCTGATTTAATTTCTCACAGAGTTATAACCAATCAGAATGAGTTGACTACAAGTCCAGCGACTCTACTGGGACATTTACAAGTTCAGGTACTCGTTTGGTTCCTGAAACGGCCTGGAAAGTGGTCTTTTCAGGCTGGCCCGGTGAAAAGGACACGCGCGCATCCCCCGAAGGTCTGATAAAGTTACCAGAGTTCCGATTGTGGAAACATGCCTTAAGTTGTAATAGCAGCAGCAGGTTTGAATAAAAGGAAGAGTTTAAAAACACATTTAACCTTAAACACAATCAAAAGAAAATGAGGGACTAATGAGAAAAACAAATGTTCTAAAAATATTCAAAAAGTAGCCAGAGAAAGAGGAGCTCACATGAGGGTCAGGGAGGTCGTGGTGGTGGTTGGAGACCGATGGTTGGTTGACCTTAACATCCGCTGGATGCTGAAAAGAGAATAAGTCAAGTTAGAGTTTTATGTTTTAGTCTTTGAACGTGCAGAATATATACACACACATACATAAATACATATATATATATATATATATATATATATATATATATATATAAATATATACACAGATAGATGTAGATGATAGATAGATAGAGATAGATAGAGAGAGATAGATGATATATATATATATATATATATATATAGAGAGAGAGAGAGAGAGAGAGAGAGAGAGAGATAAATAGAGAGAGATAGAGAGAGATAGATAGATAGAGATAGATAGAGCGAGAGAGAGATAGATATAGTTAGAGATAGATAGATAGAGATAGAGAGATAGATATAGATGATAGATAGATGATAGAGAGATAGATAGAGATAAATAGAGATAGAGAGATAGAGACAGATGATAGATATAGAGATATAGATGATATATAGATAGAGAGAGATAGAGAGAGAGAGATAGAGAGAGGGATAGATAGAGATAAATAGAGAGAGATAGAGAGACAGATAATAGATAGAGATAGATAGAGAGAGATAGGTAGAGTGAGACATAGATAGAGATAGATATAGATGATAGATAGATAGAGAGAGAGAGAGAGAGATAAATAGAGAGAGATAGAGATAGATAGAGATAAATAGAGATAGAGAGACAGATAATAGATAGAGATAGATAGAGATAGGTAGAGTGAGACATAGGTAGAGATAGATATAGATAGATAGATAGATAGATAGATAGATAGATAGATAGATAGATAGATAGATAGATAGATAGATAGAGAGAGATAGATAGAGAGATATAGATAGAGAGATAGATATAGAGATAGAGATATAGAGATATATCTCTATAAGTCGCTTTGGACAAAAGCGTCTGCTAAATACATAAACATAAAGAGATATAGAGATATAGAGATATAGATAGATAGATAGATAGATAGATAGATAGATAGATAGATAGAGGACAGCTTGAATGTTCACTATGAACTCCAGATTAAGATCGTTTCGCCGTTACAGAATGAGGACGAACATATTCTGAATACTTTAAACATCTGTGAAGCGTCATTTAGGCTAAACGAAGCCAAACCACATTCTGCACATATTACAGAACAAGATGTTTCTGCAGTAAATAAATCCAGATGTCAAACAAGCAAAACAAAAGATTTTAACATTTTCAAAATTAGAATTTCAACAAACTAAAGCTACTGTGAGTCAGCTTTTCTATGACACACTGCTAGCATCCAACTCTGAACTAAAATGTGTATTTTAGGAATATAATAGTTTTTAATAGTCACTGCCAATCTAACATAATTAGATTTTCATTTTCTCTTACAAAGTATTTTGTAAAGGAGCTAAAAGAGATGAGTTTTAATGGGAAAACCTTGATCTATTTTGCATTTCTTCCACTTTCTGCAGCCACTTCTTTTATTTACTTTCCTAACTCTGAATTACAGGTATCCATATAAAACAGGTAAATCAGGCAAGAGGAACCCTGAAAACTGAGTTTTAGGTTGTGTTTTATCCAAATCGTGACCAAGCTGCGCATTTTACCTTGTTGTGTCCGTTTTGTCTGGCTGCCATCTGCTCTCTCAGAGTCTTCAGACAGTATCTCACCTGGAAACAGAAACATGTCCGATAAGTCATGAGGGTCCCTGATGAGAGAACGGAGAAGTTGTGTCCCACACCGACCTCCTGGATCTGTGACACTTCATCCGTCAGCATCCTGAGGCTCTGTTTTGTTTCCGACCGAGATTTAAGGTGGACCTGTAAGTTTGAAAAGTAAAAATCAGGAGGGGTGACACACGCTGGCATACTCCCACGCACTTAAATCTTATTCCAGCAAATCAAGTTTACCTACCTTTATTATGTCCACGTCGTCTTCTGTGGAAGTGATCAGTTCAACTGTTTGTTTCTGTTCTTCAGGTTTCTGTGGAAGCACAACTGCAACGCTGCTCTCCTACAACAAATCAACCGTTTAACCAAACTTTTTCTTTGTTAACAAGAAAGAAAAGCCTTTCCTGCTCTGGATTCGTACCTTGCTGCAGTGCCACTCGGGAGTGAAGCTTGATCGATCCTGATCCTTAATGGGAAGACTGAGTTGTCCGGTGTGCTCCTGAAATGAATGATGAGAAGATGAATCAGACAACGAGGGTTTGTGTGTGTGTGCATGGGACTAAAGGGGGGGGGGGGGGGGGGTCAAAACGAAAGTGAAGGCAGCAGAGAGGGAGGGAGTGGGCGGTTTTAGCTGTAAAACTTCCCCATCACTCAGGTTCCTCCGTGGATTCCCCCGCGGTCACGCTGTAAAACATGGCAACCCACAGAGAGGAAACTTTTCCAGTTTTCCTCAGGAACAAGTCGGCTCTCTCCGGCCCAACACGCAGGCGAGGAAAGTTAAAGCCGTCTGCAGAAGCCACGGCTAAAAATACAAACCCCCAAAACCTCACGATTAGTCACTCTCAACTGGACTTTGTCCCCATGGCAACAACAAATAATACTGTCAGCCTCACACGGACCAACATTATTTAGAGTCTATATTAGTAGCTGTGCCCAGAGGTTCCAGAACCTTCCAGAATATCAAACCTGTAACTTACAATTTTTTTAAATAGATCAATAAACCAAAGCTGAATTAAAACAACTAGTATCTTTACAATTTTAATGAAATTATCTCTTGTAACATTCTCAGAAAGAAAGCCACATGAGCGATGACTCACCCTTCAGCAGATCATATGATGAGCTTTCAGCTCATAGCTAATCATCTCGCTATGTATTGCTTTGCTTCAGAGTTTTCCCATCTTCACACTATTTAACATAAATTGAGGAAATCTACATTTAATCATATATATTATTCTTTCTTTCTATAAATTACTGTATTGTTTTGATGCCCTCAAGGAAAAAGTGTTTTATTTTAATATTTCATACATTATATGCTGTAACTTAATTTAGGTGTGCCCAGCATTCCTTAAAGCTGGGGTGCAGTGGTTCCATTTCCCCCCCCCCCCATCATTTATGCTAGCCTAGAGCGTGGACCAATAGAATTATGCATCCACAAGAGGGAGCTGTCAATCAACGAGAAAGCGACCCAGGTCCCAGCATGCAATGCAGAATGATGCCGCAATAAGCAGAAAGTTTGCAATGGAGCAACCAAAACAATTACCGAAGTCGCCGATTCCTCAACTGTTTTCTACATCTCAAAGAAAATGTAAACATTTTAAAAGTCCTTCTGCCAAACCCACCTTGAGACATTTACAACATTCGAGCAGAATTTATGTTGGAGACTCTTTTTACAAGGGCTCTAAAACTGATGAAGAGTTGGTGAAGTTTATTTTGGACAAGTACATCCTAAGTAACATAGTATTTTGAAAAATTGCACATGAAATTTTATTAAAATACAGGAAATAATAGTGCAAATAATTGTTGTTTGATGCTTTTACTGTAGGCTACTATGGTGCTAGCTTGAATGCTACCTTGACCTGCATTCTGTTGTTGTCAGTCTGCAAACTTCAAGCTACATCAAACTATTGTTTTAGCGCTCTCTTGACCGCTTTCCCAGCGCGTGCGGAGGGGGACCATGGGCGGTAGCTATAGGGAGCCCAAGTCACTTCCGCACCATGGGTCCCTAGAAGAACGAAAAAAATTAACGCAAGTCAATGCTAAAAATGCTATTTTCTAATTCTGCTAGTTTTGAGCCATGGATTTCACATATGACGTCCGTGAATTTCAAAGAAGCATTTTGATACTAAGAACGTGCTTATTTTCGAATGGGGGAACAATATTTTAGGTTTTGTGTGAAAATAAGTCCAGAACTACAAATGTGCTTCACGAAAGTCACGTCATCAAACCAGACACGGGGAAAACTGAGGGAAAAGGGCTGTAAATTCAGCAAACTTCCCACAGGAGGAAAGAACCACCATAAATCTGGCCATTTGGTAAGTAGCAGCTACTTTAGGGGAGAGGAGATTATGTGGTGACGTCACGTATGCGACATGCTGATTTCTGGTTTGCAGTCATGCTAATTACGAACTTTTACAAGCTAATAAATCTCAAAGTACGTGACTGGCGTGGGTGAAACACCCATCAATAGTTTTCATTTAAATTGCAGTACAACATATGTGACCCAGGGCGTAAGGCAAAGCGAATTATAAATAACGATTTTAGCCCCGTTGACTTGCATTAATTTTTTCGTTCTTCCGGGGACCAATGATGCGGAAGTGACGTAGGCTCCCTATAGCCGTTCACGTTTTAAAATGTCTTCCACCTCCACGCTAGAGACCACAGGAATGAACATTGACCTCTGAAATGATCAAACCAAGACAACCTTAAATTGGGAAATAGAGTTATACGGTAGTTGCCGTTTTGGCCTGGTCTCAGCTTGATCTCATAAAGACCACAAAAAACAATTAGTTATGATTGAGTCTCAGCTACTACAACAAAAATAATTCAGCTTTCTTTAGAGTTGGACATTTTTTTGTGTTGCTAATGTTGACAAGCTGCAGCTTAAAGATAGTTAGTTGTAGACGTACATCCAGTGACCCAAAGCTGCAGATAAAAACGAAGAATGTAAAGTTTAAACAATATTGAGTAAAATCCCTCGATGTTCCTGACCTTTTGATCCCCTTCAGAGGAAACAAATCCTTCCTTTAAAGTTAACAAAGGCCTTGTTAAATAAGTGAAGAATGACTCCACAGAGCTTATGTTGCTTTTTTCCCTCTTTAAACACCAAAAGAAAACAAGTTTTTAGAAATTTGACAACCAAATCTCCACTGAGACGAGATCAAACGCAGTGAGTTATGCAAGACTCAATTCAGAGGATTTTAAAAATTTAAACGGCTGACTTCTTTGAGCGTACTTGGTGACACTACTGATGATAGAGATGTCGAGGCACCTTTGGCAGAGGCGAAAACTTAACTAGTGTAGAAAATGATTTTCCAGTTCCTAACAACCGTTATGTGTCAAAAAGTTTTTGTTTTTCGCCCCATACGCCTCAACTCCACCATATTTTATAAAATGTAAAACAACTAGAAGTTACCTTTAAAGGTGCATTATGTAAGACTGAAGTGAGAATGACATTTTTTGGTCACATTTGGTTACTGCAGCCAGTTTTCTAAACACTGGTCAACATCTCACTCCCGTTCAGTGAGTTTCATGAATCATAAGAGTCTAGGTAAGCCAAGACAAGTCAAACACAGTAAAGCCCTTTTCAGATAGACATTCTGGAACATTTGTGGACAATTCAATCCGGTTTTTAACTGGAACTGTGTTTTCAGACACACCACTTTTGTACCGGAACTTGTCCTTTCGGCTGCCTTCACACAGCAGGGAAAAGTTCCAGATGTCTGACGGCAGCAGCGTCGGGGGGTGGTGGGGGGTGGGGTGGGGTGGGGGGGTCGGACTTATGTTAAGAAGAAGAAGAAGAAGAAAATATCATTTCTATAGCGCCTCTCAAGATAAAAATCACGAGGTGCTTAAGCATAATTCTGCGCACACGTAGACGCATAAGAGACCTGGATGATGAAGCTCAATGGTTAAAGGAATCACTGAAGCAGTGTGAAGCGCTCCGTCGCGCGTCTAGGCGGTACCGTAGGAGGCGAGCTGCCATGGTTTGCCGCATGCTACAGGAGCGAGCTATCTAGGTGTGCACAGCGTCCCCCGGTCCCCTCCTCCTCCCCCTCCCCCTTGCCCGGAACTCTACTTCACCAGTCTGAAGCAGCCACCCTATCCGTAACAAGTCCGGACCTGTTACTAGGGGCATCGTCCGGTTAAATTCCGGAACACGTTATCCGGATGTTTGTATTCAGACACAAAGGTCTTACGGACAGAGTCCGGAACATTTCCGTTTTTCATGGCCTGTCTGAAGGGGGCTTCTGTGGAACAGTACTCACTGTAATAAGGTTGTTGGTTATTAAAAAGTGGCTTAAGATATTGTTTGAGCTGACTGCTTCAAATTCACCGTTAGCATATCATTTGTATATCTTTGGCCTCTAGCCTTCTTTACCTGATATTAGAGTAAAACAAAAAGATGCTGTGGCTTCTTAGGGGTACAAGAAAAAACTACTGAGTTGCTCGTTACTGGCTTTGAATCTTTACAAAACGCTGCTGTGTTTTGCCAGCTGGTGTTGAATTACAAATGTTGGCGAAGCGTCGTTAGCTCGGGGCAGACTCTGCAACCTCACGGGCTAACAGGTTATTTAAAAAAAAACACTGCGTCCCACTTTTTCTTTTTTGAAAGGAGACAAACTGACAACCCCCAGAGAAGAAAACCTGTTTTAATGTAACATTCCTTCCAACATGATTGAAACAGACTGGTTTTGGGATAGTTTTACTGTAAAATTCGAACGTGTTGCTCCTTTAAACAAACCTTAGGAGCTGTCACTCATCAAGTTTGACATCATATACGAAATTAATGTCGTTTAAACTGCAGTAAACAATTTGTCAGCGCTCTTACACCTGAAACCTCCCTGCTGAAACACTCCCCTCAAAGGTATGCATGCCCATTGCATCAATATAAAACCATTTTAAATTGATCCTTATAGATTTTGTTTTGCATTTTTAGCACAGAGTGCAAAACATAAATAATTTAATGGCTCTTTCCTTCTAGGGAAATGCTGTTCAGCTTCCTAATAGAATACTAAATAAAGCAAACAATGGGACAACAGCTTCATACCAACAAGACAAAGAAAAATGTGTAAAATAACATCACCGTTGAACATTTCTACTACTTAACTAGAACAGGAAGTTTTAGAAGAGAATGTGTTGTTTTTATTTGTTGCACACCACAAAACCACGCTCTGTGTGTGTGCGACTGTGTGGAAACAGATACCACCCATGAGTCATACAGACACAAACAGTGATGTCCGGCTTTGACGAACAAAATGGGGAAATCCCAAGAGCAAAATCTGAGGTACCTAACCGGCTTTCTACCTGGCTTGAGTGGCAGCAGGGATTTGTGGAATTTTGCCGCCTGAAAACCCATCATCTTCGAGGAGCTGATAGGCAGTAGAGATTTATTTCTGCTCTGAAGGAGCGACAAGCTAAAAGGCTCAAGGGCCTTTTTGTCCTACAGATGCAGAGAGGATTGTGGGACGGGCACACCCTGGGAGGCGCGCTGAAACGCGG